ACATTACAAAGGGAAGTCTAGATCAATGGAAAGCTTAAAAATAGGCAAGATTTCAGCTGCAGGCATCACTGGATACTTAAAAGCTAGACAAAGAGTTGGCATTGTTTCCTGAGAATTCTATGTTCTTAACTTTCCAGTCCATTGACACCTAACATAAGTTTAGTCCAACAATAGTAAACCACTACATCAATAGAATAAATCTCTATACAGTTTTCTTATACTACACTGTAAAGCTGTTTTTTAAAAACTGAAGTTGTTTTGTTTTCAGGCTCAAAATACTGTTTGAAATATAAGAATAATGTTTAAGTCCTGGCATAAAGGCAGATTAGAAATGTAATAAACAACCAAATGACATTCTTTCCTACAGGAACAATAAATTATTAGATTAATATCCTGCTCTAGGCCGAGAGCAAGTGTAGTATAGTGGTTAGAGCAGGGGTGTAGAACTAATTTGTTATGAGGGCCAGATCTGACATAAATGAGATCTTGTAGGGTCGGGCCATGTGTGTCATAAAATGTAATGCCAGGTAGCAGAGATATAAACTTTATAAAGGACACAAACACAATTAAAGATATTTTTAAAACTTAAAGTAAAACATGCTTAAAACATTAGCACTCCTGCAATATTTTGTTTATTTAACAGTCTCTGATAACTGCTTTGAATTACTGCATCAAAATCTGGAGACAATGTCTGTCCTGTAGCAACCTTAAGTATGCTGTTCAGGTGTTGTTCAGGTGTGTATCTGTAAGTTGCAAACCTACTTTTGATTCACTGACATTCACTATAGAAATCTCAGAGTTAATGCTTTGAGCCTAAGACCCAAAGGAAAACATGAAATGGCTGGGCATTGTGAGCTTTTGTACACAAGTTGTTTCATGTGCTGGTCAAGAACATGTGAAGGCATCATGACACAAGCTGAGGGCTATGTGTTTGTCTACAAAACTATAGTCTTCCCCAGAGAGTAGCTACAAGTCCTATGTGGCAGTGCAAGAATAGAGAGACAGCAATGTATATCAGCCTACTATGTGGGACATCTAGATTCGAAATCCCCAGTCTAGAAAGGAAATGTGCTGGGTGAATTTGGTCTGGACACACACACTCAAGCCTAATCCACCTCACTGGCTTGTTGTTATTCCTCATCTAAATAGTTCACATTGCTTTCCTACTGAGAAAGGCTGGATCATGAGTGCCGGAATACAGTGAAAAAGGGGAGGCATACCCAGTTGCACCCAGGAGAGCCTTGGCATGAGCCCAACAAAACTCTCTCACACACACACACCCAAGTTTTGGGTACAAAGAAGGAATGTAATTGCACAGAGGAGGAAAGGAGAATGGCATGTGGAGAAAAAAAGAGGGTTTTGAACTGATAAGAGAACAGAGAGCTTCTGGGTGCAGAGAGAAAGAAACAGAAGAAAACCTATGTTATTGGGTCCAGACAGAGAAGAGAGTGTACACTGGACTGGAGAAAAAAAGCAGGAAGATTGAGAGGGGTTGCAAACAATGCTCCCTCTAAGCTATAGAGTCTTGTGGGTAAAAATTCTACTTTGTGAGCTACTGGCATTAAAGTGAGTGAGCGATTTGGCTATTGAATAAATTAGTTTGCTCTGGAGCCATCCTTCCTGAGCCAAGTCAAATATATGAGCTGGAGGCTAAAAAACTGTGAGCTAGCTCACACTAACTCAGCTTAGAGAGAACACTGGTTGCAAGTACGATGAGAGAAGACGCAGAAAGCTCATACCTTGAATAAAACTTTGTTGGTCTTAAAGGTGTTTTCTTTGTGTCTCTCCCCTGTGATTGAGGAAACTGGGCAAAGCAAGCCCAGGAGACGAGGAGAGGGAGGAACCTCAGCCAATGGAGGGAAGAGAGGCTTTGTTCTGTAATTCTGCAGTGCAACTGAGAGCAAGCTGTCTCTTTCCCTCTCCCTCTCTACCTTCCCAAGGGAGGAACCTCAGCCAATGGAAGGAAAAGAGGCTTTGCTCTCTGGCTCTGCTGTGCGATTGAGAGAGCCTGGCAAAGCAAGCTGTGTCGCAGAAGAAAGCGAGAGAGAGAGAGAAGTAAGGAGATGGCAGCCTGTTGCTTGCGGGCTTGATACAACCCCTGTGGGGGCCAGATGTGGCCCATGAGCCACATGATTGACACCCCTGAGTTAGAGTATGGCACTAGAACCGGTAAGATTCAAGTTCAAATCCCCACTCTGCCATGGAAACTCGCTGGGTGACTTTGGGCTGCATATACTCTCAGCCTAACCTATCTCACAGGGTTGTTGTGAGAATAAAGTGGAGGACTATGGGTCCCTATGGGAGAAAAGTGGGGTATAAATGAAGTAAATAAAAGTTAATAAATAATCTTATTTAGGTTAGTCATGAATATGTTAGTTACAAAGTTATTTGCAACATCTTCTTATGATCCCAATATTATGCATTAATCCTCAAAGCAGTTCAAATTGGTCATGACTAAGTACCATTGAAATTTGAGATGCTAATTCAGTTCACAAACAAAAGGCTTGAAAAAACAACATACATGGTTTGTAAGACACAAACTCTTATTCTATTCATAATTAACAATACATATTTCAAACAGATGCCCCACTTCTGCACCTACAATGCTAGTATTGATCAGGCCAGGCCGCAGACTACTCTTGGCACATACTCTGAACATACCTGATTACTTTAACCGTTTTTACTCAGTTTCAGTCCCTGGATGAAAAACTTCCTTCCTAACAGCTGAAATTGACCTAAGAATCATTCTAGTTTACAGAATACCCCAGTTGTTTGCAGACCAGCAATTGCTTAGACATCAATCTGCTACCTGCCTACCCGTCTGCACTACAAGAATACGTGGACACCCACCCCATTATGCAGAGATAACGTATAATCAGAAGACCAAATAGGATTTAAATAAAATGGGATTACTCACTTACCAATAAAATTCTTGGAAGCAGGTTCCATTATATTACAAGGAACTAAAAGATCATATGCTAAGGCACATACATGTATATGAGAATCTATATAGCCAAGCCTATGTTATAAATATTAAGTCACGGGTGTCGAACTCATTTCTTATGATGGCTGGATAAGAAATAAATTGGACTTTGTCAGGCCAGGCCATCTGTGTCATAAATTTTAATGCCAAGTAGCATTATAAACTTTATAAAGGACACAGAAAAACACAATTAAAAATATTATAGCAGCTATTCCATTAGAGCCCCACATTAGGGGCTAATATTTCTCTGCAAAACTGAAGTTCCTTGAGTTTGCTGAACTCTGTATTTTAACTGTGGTCCGTCCCCCCGTCCCCCCGTCCCCCGAAATATAAACTACAGTTATAAATGGTCTGAGCCTAGGACCCAGGGGAAGAACATGAAAGAGCTGAGCACTGCAAGCTTCTCCCCCCACCCGGTCTACTCAGAGTGGCAGTGGCTTTCCAGAGTCTCAGGGGTTTTTTTACAGGGTGGTTTGAGATAATAATTTTGGGTGTCCTCTTCAACACTTGTTCTGCTATTATTCCATTGGAGTGCCACATTAGGAGTGTGTGTGTTAAAACTAATATTTCTCTGCAAAACTTGAGTCCCTTGAGTTTGCAGAACTCTATATTTTAACCCTGGCTGGTACCAAACCTCCCCCCCCCACCACCTAAAACATGCCTGCCTAAACTGGAAAGGTGTGTGGGGGGGTGGTTATGGGATTTTGCAAAGCCAGTTTTAAAATAAAAAAGAAGCACAAGGATCACAGCAGAAGGAAACACACACACACCCAGCTCCTAACTGTGATTAGGACTACGAAGGCTTGGAACAGTGTCTGGGAAGTTTGGCAGCCCCACCCTCTGCTTCCTGCTCTCAGAGGCAGCCCCGCCCTTGGCTCTTTATACTCCCACACAGCTCAAGATGAGAACAGTGAGGTTAGGCAGGGGATGGGTAGGAGAGTCCCACTTCCGGGCCAGATTAAAGGCCTGGGCAGGTTGCTTCTGGCCCGCGGGCCACAGGTTTGACACCTGTATTAAGGAGTAATTTCATTGCATATAAATGATGAGAAGCTCCTGGGACCTTCACTTTTATCTGGCAAAATTTCCTTTATCTCTCTGAGCCCTGATCCCTCACTTTCCCCACTCCTTGTTCAGCTGGATCTATATTGCTGTCTCTCACCTCCCCCCATCCCATTCTCACTCGCCCTTATTTTCTCTTGATTTTCTTATTTTTAACTCTTAGCTGCCTGAGTGCGTGCAGCTCTTTGTTTTCTTGTTGATGGGGTTTGTTGGGGGAAGAGGGTGGGTGGTGGGGTAGTGGGTAGTGTTCCAGGGAGTTGGTTGTTATATTTCCTATCTTATGTGGAAAACAACCAAAAACTTAATTGAAAAAAGCAGCGATTTTAAACCATGTTAATTTTCACAGCAAAAATAAGTGGAAGTTTTGTGACAACTTAAAGACTAACACCATTTTATTCCAACAAAGAATTTCACGGGCATCCAAGGGAAAAGACACATGAAGTCTTGTCAAGGTATTAAAAAATTTCTTTAACTTTCTGTACTCTATATTTTCATCTCTTAGAGTTCCTCATTAACTTAATTTGTATATGAGTAGAATAAAACATGTTTTCCATTTTTTTCTTTCTTTCTGAGACACTCTAAATTATATTTCCGCACAAGCATGCTGCCCAAACGCACTGTACCAACTAAAGAAGAAAAAAGGAAGGTTAGGATCCCTTCCCCTCTCTAAAACATGGACACAGACTAAATTCATCATTGGCCTAGTCTTCGCAGCTTCTGCTAAGGAGTATTTCAGTTTTAAAAACTGGGTTTCTCACATTCAGTCTTGTATAATCTGTTAATTTTGATACTGAGGCAGTATCATAATTTGCATTGTTATTCTTCAGTATTAAGAATTCTACTTTCAGAGTTTTGTAGCAGTAAATACTGAAAATTACAATCCTATTAAAAATCAATACCTTTACTTCTACAATTACATTACCTATATCTTTTTCATAAATTTTGAAGGGTTTTATACCTTGGAGAATCTGGATTTGCTTGGTGGACTCTTCAACTTGTAATCTATAAGCTTTTCTTTCTTCTTCCAAAAGAGCTGTTAGTAAAAGATATATATACATATATATATAATTTAAATGCATATTGTTTATCATTATGTAGCTTAAATGATTAGAAATTAGTGTTTTAAAAAATTATTTCCATCTTTAGTAAACATGAATCAATAAGTAAATTAACATATTTAATTGATTAAATTACACTGCTAGTAGTTAATGATTTTATTTAATTTTTTGCTGGAGATTTCTCTCTGCCTCTCTTCAGTGCATCTTTGACATCATTATGTTACGGAATGGCAGCAAGAAAATGAAAACAATCATAAAACCATTTCCAGTCCTTAAATTCATCAAGTTTTTGACTTTTCACCTTCATTACATAGAAGGTACTCTGCACACATTTTATTCAGAATAATCAGATCAGATTTGTATTGCCATTTTAACTATCACTGAAGCAGTTGGGCATAAATTTTCCAAGGTAAGCTGCATATTCAAAGGGAACTTGATCTCACCTTGCAGTTCAAAGCATTTTTGTTTACTTGTTCTAGCTAGCTCTTGGGCTTCAACCAGTTCTTTGTGCAGCTGCTGAATTTCTTGTTTTGCCTCAGTTTCTGATTGTGCACCCTGCAATTCATCTGCTAAAAGAATATTTTTCTTTAAAGCATCAGTTTTCGCAATTGCCTAAGTTTCTACTACCCTACAAAGACAGGAATTTGAGAATCATGCAAAGTTAGTGACCTTAGATAAAAGTTATGAGATAAATTAGAACACTGTTAGGAAGTAAAATATTCACACACTGAAGTTCAGCATACAGAAATAAACTCAGTTGGAATCATGTAGGTAATTCAAATCACAATATATTCTGAACTGTTAAAATGTCAAATACTAGCCATTCTCCATTTATGTGGTCAAAATTGTTTGAACACAGCAGATTTTTTTCCAGACTTTAATTTTATTTTCCCCCACATTATGTTATTCAAAAATGAATATTCAGCATGTCAGAGGCCTCACAGCAGTAAAGGCAAGGCCTTATGCAATCAAGGGGAAACTAGAGAAATGGAATTGCAAAGGAAATTTATCTATAGCTCATTCCTATGAATGTTTACCCAGTTCCAAGACCCTCAGGACTGGAGTGAATGTAAACTAGTATGAACAGGTATTGTGTACTGATAAGAAAATGGCTGAAGTGGTACCTCCCATTGCCCTCACCCCGGGTAGATTCACCACTAGTAAAAAACTGAAGTTCATGCTCGCCTAGGTTTTATTTTAAAGTACATATGTGTTGGACTCTCACAGGAGACTTAATAGTGGAACAAACTACTTTCAATGCTCCACAAAATTTCAAATATAAATTTCCTGTGAGGTAAGGAAGGTTGCTATTTCAGAAAAAGCCTTGCTAGGCTTAAGTGACTATTTTCATAATTCTTTGCATCCTGGCCGTAGCCTTCAAGTAAAAGGTCTGCTTAGTGTCCTTGTATGTTTTCTGAGGGAATCAAACAGATATCCATTAATTTCATTTGTTGCCTGATCTCTAGGCATATAATTCTGTAGTGAAAAAGACATCTGGGCTGCATGACTAAAGATTTTCAAATATGTTCCCAGTTAGTAAAAAGACACTGCTTAGTAAAAAATACTAAGCTGGCAGGAAATGTATAAAATGAGAACTCCTTTCTCACTGTTCTCACTGTTAAGCACAGACTTAATAATCACCATATTAAAAATTTAAGAAAACAATTTACCTTTTAAGAGAGCTACTTTAGCAATAGGTTCATTTAGTTCATGGTCATCCATCTGAGCATCTAAAGGAGAAAATCAAATTATTTTTGAAATTATTTGAATATATTAGACAAGTATAACATTCAGCACAGTGCAGCAGCAACACACACATAAAAACATTAAACCCCATGAATAACAATATAGGCTGTATCAGTTTTATGTCAAGTTAAAAGTAAATAGTCTTCGTACTTTGATATTCCCAATACGCTTGAATGAAATTATGTCCACAAACATACCTGTAGTGTCGTCACTACTTTTCTCCTTGCTCGGGCTAAGAGTATCAGATAGATCAGCTTCTTTTGCTTTTGCCTGATTTTCTGTAAAATAGAAACAATTGTTTTGTTAAGGTACTTTTAGCATCAATGCAATGCACAGAGGATGCAATGCACACACTTGTTAAAATCAATGCAATGCACACACTTGTTAAAACCAATGTTTTCCTATGTCTTTGCAATCCTGTTCCCAACTGGATTAAATATCCTCAGGTCACATATTTAATACTAAACAATCCAACACAGGATGTAGTTGCCTCATGCATAGTTTAGCCTTTTGTTTAAAATTGTACTCTGGCCAGCTGGAACCCTGTGTAAAGTTAGTTGTTTTGTTCACTAATTCTGGGAGCAAATCAGGAGAGACACACACAGAAAACCATTTCCAGAACAATAGAGATATTGTAACATGCTAGACAGAAAAGTGCTTTTAGGAATAAACACTGCTTTGTACCACACTGGATAAGAAAAACACTTTAAGAATATGACACATAAAAGATATCAGGATGAAATTTAAGACAACCCAGCCATTAAAATTAAACTGTGCAATATGAGTAACTTTTTAAAAGTTGCATTTGTGGAAAATTCACATATTTTTCTACAATCAAGGAACCAACTTCTGTGTTTCATCTACAAGTTTTTCTGTATATTATAATAAAGCCTCAAAAGTTGTCTGAGGTCCTTAGGTCTGGCCAAACACTGAGACAATACAGAGAAATTCTCTATACCAGCACTGGATTCAAAAAATTCAAAGATTCAATTTAGGTTATAAAAGGTTACTTTTGTTACAGAAATTTAATCTAGGAAAGGGACACATTCTTACAACACATACTTACAACTTAACTTACAAAGCAGAGGCAAAAGGAAAGACAGGCCATCTAGTTCTGAGCTGGCAGAGGTGATATCCAGTTTGGTGCTGGAGTCTCCCAAAATGATTGTCCTGGGAGACTTCAGCATTCATGCTGAAGGCACTTTGTTTGGACCAGCTTAGGACTGCATAGCTTTTTTGGCCACCATAGTTCTCACTCAGGTTGTGACGGGCCCATTTCATGAAAAAGAGCATACTTCTGAGTTAATTTTTTTTGCATTGATTTTTGGGAGGAAGGTCTGATTTGGGACCTGGAGGTTCAACCTATGCCATGGTCTAAATAACACCACCTCAAGGCACAGGTCAGTATGGCACCAATCCTCTTCTAAAATAGTCTACCCACAGAGACTCATGGATCTGACTGGAATCCAGAATCTCGGATGTTAGTTGTGTTGATGCCATAGTGGAACCTGAATACAAAGCTCCTAGAAACTATTGACAAGGTTGTCCACCCATCTTCTCCCACCCTTGAGATAGACTCTGGCCCCTTGATTTACCACAGAGTTGAATGATTTGAAGAATGCAGGGAGGGCACATCTAGAGTGGTGCTGGCGGAAAACCCACAGTGAATCTGACAGACCATGCTGTAGAGCCAAATGGAAAACCTAAGAGGTGGCAATAACAGTGGCAAAGGAATCTTATTTCTTTGATACCATTGCGGCAGCTAGTTCATGACCAGCTCATTTGTTTAAGGCACTTCAACACTTGCTAAGTCCTGAGTTTTTAAATTCTCAGGATCTCTTGATTATCAGTTGTGATACTTCTGTGAAGTTCTTTGCTGTGTCTCAGATATATTCTGGATGCCAGTTGTAATATAGCTCAAACAATAGAAAAAAACCCAGAAACATCAGCTGGTACAGAGTGCCACAGCCCAATTATTATCAAGAACAAGCAGAGTATGCATTCTGCAGTTTTCCACTGGTTATTGATCAATTTCAGGATTCAATTCAAGGGATGGACTATCATCTACAAAGCCCTTCATGGAATAGGGTCCACATATCTAAAGGACCATCTTCCAATATGCCCCTGTGACAGCCATGCTCATCTGAACAACGTTTGCTGAAGGCACCACTCTGGAAATGGGTAAGAATAGCTGCTATCTGTATCCAATCATTCTCTGTTGTGGCTCCCACTTTGTGGGAGGCCTGCCTGAGGAGGTCAGGAAGGTCAATTCTGTTATTCTGCAGAATGTGTAGAACAGGATTTTCAGGAGGGCTTTTTATAAAGAGAACAGAGGAATTTGTTCTGGAGGATGGGTTTCTTGTTTCTTCTGCATTGTTTTCTAAATTTCTCTAAAGCAGTTTTTGCATATCTTTTGCATAGCCAAACATCCATACCCTAGTTAGATAACAGGGCATCCAGGCATAGTGAAATGTCTGAGGCTTCCCATGGCCCCGCGCTCCTCTGCAGTCTGTTGATCAGCTGGCCCTTTGCCAAGTTGCCCAACGCTGAGAAGATGGTGACCAGGGGTGGCACCATGCCTTTAGTAGCAGCCAGGGCGCCCCGGTTCCCCTGACACCCAGGACCTGCTGATAGGGCCGGTGGTGTAGGGTCTGGCAGGCCCAAGATTCCTGCGCTCACTACTAGCCCGCACCCTCCACCCAACAAGAGCTGCCATGGCCACCCTTGCTCCCCCCTCCCTGTGGCACCACAAACAGGACCCTGGATGAGTCCAGGCCCTAGCTTTTTATAAAGAGAATGGAGCTGTAGTAAAATGGACTTTGTTCCAGAGGATGTGTTTACAAAGGAACAAGTTCTGTTTATTGTTTGCATTTCTTGTTTCTTCTGCATTGTTTTCTAAGTTTCTCTAAACCATTTTTTGCATATTTTAAGTCAAGTCTTACACTGCTTTTATTGCATTGTTTTCTAACTTTGTATTCCAATCTTATCACAATGTTTATTATGTCTGATACTGTGCCTATGACACTGGTAAATTTCATAATATGTCTTGAATCTTCCCAAGTAAACTAAAAGAACCATTATTTCTTTCAGTTAGGAAAAATCCATCCACCATTAATAAGGCTTCAAAATGAAACTGGAACTCATTCCAATGTTTTTGGAGGATGCAGCCATCTGCCTACAACTTGATGAGCACTTCTGTTTGGACATAATGAGCCTTATAGCAAAACACCTACTACATTCCTAACAAATTACCTAAATGAAGTTCAAAATTTTCATCCAACTTTTTCATAGTTTCTTATATTTTTTTCCCCTAAAGAAAATGTTAAATGGAGAACTGCATTAAAAAGCTTTGGAAAGTAAGCTTCTAAATGTTATGCACTTAGAATGTTAACAATTACCCGATCAAACTGAAATACAGAGGGAAATTCAAGAGAGGATGAAGTGTGCTTGCTCTAGAAATAGGTCAATGTTGAAAGGGAAAGATACTGTTCATGAGAAAATAATCCTCTAACACTGAGTGCAGCAAAGTCTACATGTACTTGTTAAGCAAGAACACAAACATATGACTGTAACGAGCCAAAATAAATAAGAGTTTCCTTCTTTAAACAGGTGGAAATCAGTCAATGAAGGCTTCATCTTTAAACTGAAGACAGGTGGTCTCTCAGCCAGAAGTGCTATTCAGAAAACATAGAAAGCATTCTTGGCTTTGCTGCAGATTCTGTGCTTGACAAAGGACAAAATAATCAAACCAAATATCAATCTTACCCATTATTAAATATATTAGTGCTTCCTTACAAATTCCCATACATCTTATCTCCAACTGAAACCAAGTATAAGTGCAGGAAGCTGCACTTGCTTACACACTTACACACACACACACACACACACACACACACACACACACACACCCTCTTACTTGTGTATGGTTGCCAACCTCAAGGTGTGGCCTGGAGATCTCCTGGAATTACAACTGATCTCCAGACCACAGAGATCTGTTCCCCTGGAGAAAATGGCTGCTTTGGAGGGTGGACCCTACGGCATTACACCCTGCTGGGGTCCCTCCCTTCCCCAAGCACCACCCTCTCCAGGCTCCACCTCCCAAAGCTCCACAAACTTCTTAACTCAGAGATGGCGACCCTATAATTGTATCACCTTTTTCCTCTGTTGTTTTCTTTCCAGCCTGTCCTGCTCTAAAGTTAGATCTTAACATTTCTTCTGTCTCTCTATAAAACATGACACATAGTGAAGTTGCTGTAAGTATTCAGTTATACACTACAAAAAACAATATGTTAAATACTGTCAGATTTACTACAGGCCCAATTTCTTTAAAAAGTTTATTTTCTGACATCTGCTGCTGCTGCTGCAGCAACAGAACTCTTACTTCCCTATATGGACACAGAAGGCACAGTTGGTTCCTTTGCACAAAATAGTGACAAATCCACTGAGAGAGAAAGAGGAATTTTTAAAAAGCAGTTCACCACCATTAGATTCCATTCCCTTTTTTCCATTCTCACTCCTGATCTAACATTTGGATTTCAGACTTTATTGTAGAGAAAAGTATTTATTATAATGACAGTAGTAACTGCCAGTCAGAAAAATGCTGGACACAAAGGACATCGGATGGAGTGCTGACTCACAAACGCTTATGCTGGGGGGAAAATGGTTAGTTGCTGCTGGACTGGCTTAATTTTGCCACCACAGACTAACACCTCTACCCCTCTGACAAAAGACCTAGTTATTCCATACAAATGTGGATGCATTCAACTCGTATCGCATGTCCAAGAAGTCTCTATACTTCTGTCTCTTGAGCAGTAACCCCTCAAACTGCAGATGAGCCCTGCTGAAAGTGACCGAGTTGCAAGAGCAGTTTATGACTTTCTTTTATACCACTTCCTTTTGTTACCTAGCTTTCTCCCATTCATATACTGCATGAAGGGTTTAAAACATAATGACAGAATCTTTTTAAAGGTTACATGGAATGCATTACGCCAACACAAAAAAATAACTCACCATTCAACAAGATTACACTGACATGCAAGCATTAAGTTACACCAGAGTTTGTCTGCATTCTTTTCCAAATATGGCATGCTCCCTGCACTTTGCACAAAAAAGAACATGCAGGAGATTCACTGCAGACACAACATGAAAATAGTAATTTCCCCCCCCCCAAAGACCATACTAAACCAAATATAAAACCTTTAACTATAGTAATAATTTAAGACCCATACAAAGTTTGAGGAAATTCAACAATATTGAAGTTCATTTATATAAATATAAATATTATACGTTCATAGTCACTTAAACAAAATCTTATAACATTAATACTGTAAAATTAATTACTAAATTATAAAATCTATGGCAGGACTACCTTTGAAATGCAGGTATCCATGACTCCATTAAAACAAAAAGAGCTGAAACTTCAAAAGCAACTTCAAAAATACAGCCAAACCATTTTCAATATTCTGTCCACAAGAGGTACATTACCTTCCTTGAGCAAATTTACTTTGAAGTAGATTTTAAGATGAGATGCTATTGGATATGGAGCAGTATTGTTTGTTCTTATATCCAGCAGGAGACAGTTGCAAAATTACAATACATAGTCATTACAACTAAGAGGCTAAAACAATAACAGGTATTCAAAAAGGATACCTAATATGTTTTCCTTTTTATGGTGTCTAATATTTGGCAATATCATATTCCTTCAAACATGAATCAAAATATTTGGATTTTTAAAAAGTCAGATCAATGGCCCAGTTTCCAAGACTTGTAACATTTCTCAAAAACAAAGTAAGTGTCTAACCTTTCAGAATCTTTGTTTCATCCACTCTGGAAAGATGTCCTTCGTCTATGAGCTTGTCTGCTGAACAAAATAGGGGTTACTATCCTAGCTCAAATTGTTCAAGCATTTATTTGTACACGTCTCTGTAATCTACATTCCATGACCAAATTTAAACAGGACATTATTACCTCATACTTCTCTGTGCTAGAATCCAGAGGGATTTTAACAGGACAATACATAATTATACAAAAGGTGATTTTAATCAGCTACGCACAAGCAAAACAGGAAATTAAATGCAAAATAGTTTTTTAGGAAAACAAAGCTCTTGGTCAGAAATATTGAGCTGTCTTCCACGGTCAAAGTGTGAAACCTTACAAGAAGTAATTTAATCAAGACATTTATGCATTTGGAATCTGTTTCTCAATAGCAAAAGTTTTAAAACCTGTACTGAGCAAAGGGTGAAAGTGTATTCATATTAATTGGTTGGGGGGGGGGGGTAGTGTGAAAATTCCTGGTAGCTCAACAGTGACCTTACATACAGAATGTAATTATGATGGTTGAACCATTGAATTCAGAGCATCCAATATAGCCAAACTTTATCTACATACTGGATACTGGGAGCAATACTAACTATGAAACCTGGTGGTGAATTTAAGTGAAAAATTTGAGTGAGGAAGTGAGGAAGGAGATGAACAGTTAACAGAAAGTTAACCTCGTTTTCACAGGCACAGAAACTGCCCATTCAGTATTTTTAACATCTTAGTCACCAATCTTGATTATGCTATCCTCTTCTAGTGCATATCTTCTGCTACACAAGTATAACCTTACAATTTGGGGGTAGCTGCTTGAGGCCTTTATTTGGCAAGCATTTGTTAACACACAATTCATTCATTTATTAAACTATTTTAATCCCACCTTTCTTGCCATACAACCCTGACTCTTGGCCACTTTCAAGACTAGCAACAAAATGAATTAGGTTTTAGTTGCTATTTTTCCACTGTATTTCTAAGAATGTTCCCCAGTAAGATCAGTATGTGGGAACACCAAGAAGGCTGGAATAGGCTGTGTAAGTCTGGAGGCCTCATATTTTGTTAGCAAAATACTGAGACGGGGAAAAATACAAAACACACACACACAAGGAAAATAAAATCGTTAATGTGACAATGGATTAAAAAAAATCAGACTAAGAGAGGCCAAAAAGAACGTTCAGTGGAGGATACAAATATAGCAGAAACAAGTGGCATGCTGAGGTCAGAGAAGACCAAGAGGAAGCACAAGACAGATGGGGCAGCAAATGGGAGAGATCATACATTCTGTGCTATTCTGAAAATACACAAAGGTAGAACAAGGAATGACATAGGAAAGTGCTCTAAACAGCAGACTTGTAAAAATAATCCTATCGGATTTTAAAAGCAGATTTTACTGATAAATAAATTCAGTGCATATGCATCATAAATACGTAATGATTTGCACAAAAACAGCCTCCACAGATCAAATACCAGTTTCCATATTACATGTCAGTTCAGCCAAAACACTACCAAATGGAAATTAAAGTTCACACATTCAGCTGCAAGTTTCCAGCTAAGTAATCAAGTAACAAGAAACACTGAATGTTATAAATGCATGTATGAATAAATGCTCAATAAGTTGCTCCAGCTGTGCATTTGCTTGAGAAAGTAATAAAGGATGGCTAGTTCAGAGAGCTAGTCAGAGAGCAGCTATATCAGACAGGAGACAAAGCTGTTCCTCAGGGATAAGACTAATGCTGGCAAAAAGCATTTGGCATAAAGCACTAAGATAAGCAGATGGACTCAAGAGGGCAAGAACAAATTTTAGCTTGTAGAAGCAGACTGATGCATGAGCTTTTACATTATGTATTGAAAAGCCTTTTTTACAGAATTCTGCTCAAAGTAGGTAAGCGAATGAATAAACAGAACATTAAATGAATAAAGTAAAGGAACTGGACAGAAAACATAAAGCCAATGTTTCCTCCTCCACACCACTGGAAGAATGTGCATATAATAAATGCATATTCTGTGTTACAATTTGGTATTACAAAAATGTGGATGGACATTTGATTTTTCTGTGACCAACGTATAACAACCATTCAACTCATACGGAATGCTTCCTTTGTCCCACCATGTTTGTAGCTGACAATGTCCAAGAGGCAACCTGTCAGGGAAACACTTCAAGATCTTTCTGGGGAGAGGTGAGAGCTGTTTTGTTTTGCTTTTTTGCAAACGTCAAGGGGAAAGTAAAATACCAGCTCCTTCATCTATTGTCTAATGCTTGGATAGTATTAAATATGAATGTTTCCTTCCCTCAGTGATTAGCAGGTAAAAACTCCCTTCTGATTCACCAGATGTGGTCCTTATTGCATGTCCATTTTCCCCAGGCCAAAGTTAAGTGTTTAACTGGTTCCTTATATTGGGAAGACACAATGTCAACAGTCTCAGGTTTCCAGATTTTCTATAAACAATCCTAAATGAGATCTATTCTATTTGGTCTAGAATGAAGTTAGTTACAGCAGGAAACGGAAGTAACTACACCACTTTCCAGCCAGTTTACTAGTAACCTGTCTAAGGATGACAAGTGTAAGTCTTCTGTTGGAACTGCACATCTATTTAATCTTTTATCCCACTATGCATAAAAGGATAAGGCAAACAAACAAGAATTTGTAGGGCTTCCAAAAACCAATTATCCAAAACTAACTGCAAACAACATTCCTGAAGTCTTGCTGAATTGGATTCCTTGACAGTAGTTCTCATGCGACACCACAGTATTTATTTTGTAATGGTGGACACTCAAACACTAATACATTTAAGGGCCTTGATCCCTTCCAATCTGGCTTTTGCTTTGGCTATGTGATGGAGACGGCACTGGTCGCCCTCACAGATGGTCGCCCTCCATAGACACCTGGATTGAGGCAGATCAGTGCTGCTATTTTTGCTCAATCTAACAGCAGCATTCAACATGGTCAATTATGACCTAATGACCCACTGCCTTGCAGATGAGGGGATTTGTGGGACAGCCTTGAAATGGTTTGTCTAATTTCTCCATGATCAGGGACAGAGGGTGACATTTGGGGAGAAGATCTCAACATGACACCCTTCGGTGTGCAGAGTCCCTCAGGGGGCAATCCTCTCCCCAATGTTATTTAACATCTATATGTGCCCCCTTGCCCAGCTGATATGGAGCTTTGGGCTGGGATGCCACCAATACGCTGATAACACCAGCTGTATCGGTTGAAGGCCGGCCGGCCAAATGCCGCCCCAGAAAATCTGGCCGGGGGCCTAGAGGCTGTGGTTGGTTTGTTGTAGCAGAGCTGACTGAAACTAAATCCATCAAAGACGGAGGTCTGCTGGCTGAGTCAAGGAGACCCCACGTTGGGATTCCAACTTCCAGCCTTTGACAGAGAGCTGTTAACCCCAAGGCCACTTGTGAAGAGCTTAGGAGTCTTTCTGGATAGCCCCCTTTCAATGGAGGCTCAGATTACACATGCTGCCAGACCGGCATTTTTCTATCTGCGCCAGGTCCGGCAACTGATTTCCTTCCTGTCTTGCCCTGACTTAGCCACGGTGATCCACGCAATGGTCACCTCCAGACTAGACCACTGTAACTTGCTCTATGCGGGGCTACTCTTGAAACTGACCTGGAAACTCCAACTGGTCCAGAATGCAGCAGCACGTGTGCTTACAAGCACACCATCTAGAGTCCACATAGAACCAGTGCTTCGCCAGCTGCACTGGCTTCAGGCTGAATACCAGATCAGATTCCAGGCCCAAAAAGTATTCGTCTAGCCTCGACCTGGGCCAGAGTCTTCTTTGCTCTGGCCCCAGCCTGGTGGAACACCCTTCCAGGTGAGATCTGGGCTCTGCAAAATCTAGTTCAGTTCTGCAGGGCCAAAAATACAGCTAAGGCAGCGAAGTTACCATCTAAATTGTCCTCCCCTGGTCCCCTCCCCACCATCCATTCTGTCATTGTACCGGTTTCCACTGACACGCAGACTGCACAACCTCACTTTGGATAATTTCTGTTATTAGTGCCTAAGTCACCATCTGTTTTTACTTTTGATTTGTTACTATATTAATTTGTTTTTAACAAATAATTTATGGTATTGTTTTTAACTTGTTGTTACCCGCCTTGAGCTTTGCTGTCCAGTGGAGGGCAGGCTAAAAGTCTAATAAAATAAATAAATATAAATAAATAAATAACCTGGAAGAGATGCCAGAAGATCCATGATAGAAAATGCAATCCCTCCCTTCCCCCCTGTTTCAGAGCCCAGAACGGAGTGGGGAGAAGACAGAAGGGGTGTAACTGGATCACCAGACTACTGATGTCTTGAATTGATTGGTCCTAATTAGTGGGGTGGGGTGGGGGCAGGAATAGGAATGAATAAGGACATCGTCATACATGACCTTTGTGAAATGGCACTGGGAATACCAGCAGGGGCAAACAGCTATTATATTGTACCCATTACTAGTGATCTTCAAGCATCTGTTTGGTTTTCTATGTATGTGAGAGCCTACAATTTTAGTGTTAATTTACAGAGTCTCATTCTGAAAATCTGAGAATCTACATTTTATATCTGTACAGTTCATGTACTAGTTTTTATTTCATGAGGTTACTCAAATAATCTTTTAACATAACAAAGCTTTAAACATCCTTCTGCAAAATTGGGATTTTAATCTAATTCTGAATGTGGCCCAGAGAGCACATCAAAAAATCCACACAAAGGGGGATTTTTCTATAAACCAAGGGGGGAAAGCTAGGTTTGTAGAAAAGTCCCAGAAAAGTAACAATAGTGCTGTGGGGCAGGGTTGAATCTGCCCAAAGTGTGGAGAAGCAAGAGCTCAGTTACGATTTGGGGTTGTTGCCTAGCAATACCAATAAACAATACCACAGCAGTGAGCACAGTGAAAGCTGCAGGCAAAGGAGAAGGTGTCAGCAGGAGAGTTAGGAAGAAAGATGCAAAGGTAAAAGATGGGGAAGAAAAGGCGGTGGCAGTCACTTTCATCACTCCAATGAACACCCAAAGGAAAAGTAAGGCAGTGGCAGAAAGAGGAAAGGGAAGTGTTAATGGCAGGTGAATAGGAAAGGAAAGAGACAGGTGGAAGCAGCAAAGATGAGGAGGATGTGGGAAAGTGTCTCTGGGTGGTAAAAAGCAGTGGAAAGAAGCAGGACTAGTGGGAGGGGTTCCCACAAGTTTCTCACAGGTCCTTGCTTATATGCAGTAATTCTGGAACAGTTCTGCTTTTTGCTTATACCAAAAAATTTCATTAATGGAATATTTTCACTTTACCAAGCACTTCATCTTGTGTACTGAATAAGACTGTAAAATCTTTGACTGCCCAGTTTGGTTAATAAAATATATAGTGTGTGACTATAGTATGGTAATATAGAATTAAAAACAATAAAACCTTGCATTTTTAAATCACATTGTGTCAAAATGTGACAATGGAAGAATTAGTTGACACACAAAAAGAGAGAGATGCAAGGCATGGAAGCAAACACTGAAATTTGTGTGGGAAAATTTTAACACTGTACACTGAGGGAAATCATTCCCAATACTTCTGCTCATTTTTACCTTTTCCTATTATTAGAAAGCACCTTTTAACATGACTTAGTGGAACATATAGTTTATGTGAAGCAGTGAAGGGATTAATGCAAAAAGACACAAAACAGAGGAAGACAAAAAAGGTATATACAACATAATCTACTGAACTATTGTTTTCTTGGAGAACCTATGTGCAAGTTTACATATATTCCCCAACACTGTCGAAAAGCCTTCATATGATATGTCTCACGATCTCATTTTATATTATCAGTCTCTTATGTTAAACTGAGGGACAACACATTGCCCCAAAGATACCTTCCCCTGCTTCAGATGCTAAATTTTAGCCAGAGAAGCATGAGTGGTACTCTGTTCATTCAACAGAGCTTCCCTATCTTCAGCTTCCCACTGCAGCTTCTCCACTCTGAAACGTTGCTTCTGAAGGCTAGGGTACCCTCTGGAAGGGCATGGGGGGCAGGGAGCTGCAGCTGGAGGGAGGGGAAAATGCTGGAAGTTGGGGGCTGCCCCCCTACCGCATGAGTGGAAGTGCCTTTGGATTATAGCCCTTATACTGAGATGCTGAATATGTCGGCACCACAGAATCACAGATTCAATTTTATGCTTCTGGTGTAACATAACAGGGGAAACCTGTACGGTTCTTCTATGGTGACATACCTGAGCTATACCTGCTTCTCACCATACAGAGGAGCCTGAGGGGGGAAAGTGTTCTATCCCTTTAATAGACACATAGTCGGGATGTTATTTAGCAGGAGATGTTATTTACCTCGTTATGAAAAGCTTCACCTGCCCACTTATTATAGGGGAAAGATTTTTCCCCCTCCATATTGTTGCGAACCTGACAACGGAAGTGAAAAAAATTATCCCATACAGCTCTTCTTCTGTGACAAAATATGGGTTGCCATAAGCACAGTCAGCTTTGACTGCAGGCCAAGAAGGCTGTTCAACTGTTTCAAATTGATTAATTGAGCAAGAAGTTTCATTTACGGCATGTAGTGTAACAATGGCCAATTGCTTCATCCAGATTCACAAATCGATATATACCCCGGTAACCCTCATCCTACTACACCAGAAAAGGTTATGTGTATAGTTCCACCTCAGATGGAACACCACATCATGCATGTTGGTGTTCTATTCATGACTGCAGATCATTTTACCATAATGCAATAACTAAAGTAGTTGATGATTTAAAAACATATGAACATATGAAGCAGTAATCTATGCTGATTAAAGTGATGTGAAACTTCACTTGTACATAGATATAGCTTGTTTTTAATATGTTCTCCTTATCATATCTCTGCAAAAATGCCACTATTCTCACTAGTAATGTATTTTTTTTTACTAATATCTAGAGACTTTTTAGTGAATGTGATGAACACTCTGTACTCACTCTGGCACTCTATGAACTGATGAATAAAAGTGCAGTCCCCTCCACTCTTTGAAAGAAAGTGCTCTAGTAAAGAAAGAAACACCTATAAGTTCAAATCTTCACCTTTTAGGGTTCAAGGTAAGCCTCACAGAGTTCCCCCCAAAAGGGAGGAACCCCTCCAACAAACAGTAGCATACTTTAGAATATACTGCATACAACTCACAGATGATAAATCTTAAGCCAATATTGGTTTGTATGACTTGTGTGTCACATGTGTCTTGCATGTATCTTCAAAACTTATAAACCTCTTGTTAAAGCTCATAAACCTCTAATACATGTTAGGATTGACAAGTTCACCTATGCCCAAATCTAGATAGTGTCAACGAGGCACTTTCTATATGGTCATTCTTTGATTTAAGGTTTAAGATTGCTTGCAATGTTTCAGTTAGAAAGATAATTCTTTTAAGGCAGCCTCATATTACTGGATGGACTTCATAATGTTTGTTTACTTTGGAAGACAATCATGACCAGCTGAGTTAGTGTGATCTAGCTCACAGTTCTTTAGCCTCCGGCTCACACATTTTTGTCTTAGCTCAGGAAGGATGGCTCCAGAGCAAACTAATTTATGCAGCAGCCCAATCGCTTGCTCACAACTTTAATGCCAGTGGCTCACAAAGTAGAATTTTTGCTCACGAGACTCCACAGCTTAGAGGGAAGTAAATAGCTGGAAAGGGTTGCATTGATCAAATTATTGTTAGACTTTGTAAAGCAGCCTTGAACTAATTATAAAAAAACAGACTTTTAAAATGAATAAAAGTTTACTTTTACTTTGAAAATTTAACAGAATGCCCATCTTTTGATGCAGTATTTCAAAGTTTGCCTCTTAAGAGGGTATTTTCAGCCTTCAGGGGTGTTCCTTTATTCCACACAGCTTCTACCTCTGATAGGATTACACTCATTTATTTATAATAATACTAATATATACTTAAAATATTTATCATAATTTTTTTAACTTAAGTGGAATTTCACCCTTACGTGAAAAGGGTAACTGGCCTAATGCCACTCAACAGCTTCATGGTTGAGTGGAGGTTTTGATCTGGTTTCCAAGATGTAACATTTGCCATTTTACCACAAGACTTCAACTACTGTCACGATATTAACCTAGGAAAACAAACGGTGAGTCCATTTGAAAAGGACTGTCTGCAGAACATAGAAATGACTGATGTTGGGAGTTTCCCCTCTTTCTCTGTGTTAAGGCAGCAACACCGATTAGAACCTCTATGACAACACCGGGCAAAGCCCTTATGTGGAGAAAGAACGGTGTGACATTTGAGGGAAGCAAGAGGAACTGCGGAAGAGAGGGGATTCATCTACGGTCTTGAAGGACTGTAAAAGCTGGTGCACAGTCAAACTGGCATATAATGCAACAAGAAGGGTAGGAGGGATTTTGAAAGGCAACAGAAAGATGGGGCATGCCCCCACCTCCTTCACACAAGATGTAGCAGTGCTTGTCTCTGCATCATAGCAGCTGTTAAAAGGGTACTGGACAGGGTTACTCTAGCTAGTCTGGGATAATGTGGACTTGTTTTTAATCTGATAATAGTGGCGCAATTCAAACTACAGAGGATGAACAAAATATGATAAAGTACAGAATAATTTGTTCAGAAAAAAAGTCAGAGTGTTGGGGTAAACAAAAGGGAAATCATATGTCAAGTGACAGCAAAGTCAGAAGGGGGAGAGGAAATACTAACTACTATACATAGTTGAAAGAATGAGATATGCTCCCTGACAAAACCTAAAGAGCAAAAGATTAAGCAGTGAACCCTTCTGATCTGAAACCAAGCCGCTTGCCTAATTTTGAATGCACTTAAAGTTAATCTAAGAAAATGAATCATAGTTGAACTCAATAATACTTTTGAAAAAATCCCTTATACTAAAAAAGGAAAGACAAGAAACTGCTATAATTATTTTAGAATTTACTATGTGGCCAAACAAATACTCTATTGCTATTAAAAACATTCAGTTTTGTCAGTTAAAGTGTGGGGAATTAGACGCTTCAAGCAGAAAGATCTGCTCTTTTATGCAGAAATATATTCTCTGGGTACTACACTACACATGTAACTGTCTCAGATTTTGGGTTTGGGGCTGTCACAGAACTATGTGGAAGAAATCAAAAAAAGAGCTCCTAGTTTATAATTCTTCATAACGCTTATCTCCATGGAGGCTATTTAAGATGATGGGAATATTCTTAGGGTGCAACCCTAAGATCACTTTCCCAGGACTAAGCCCCACCAATTAACATGCAACTTCCAAATACACCTGCTTACCATTGCTCCTTAAGGCATCCGTGCATGGAGCTGCTACTTTAGGCTTAGTTCAGATATAACAGGCATCAGACACATACCAGAAATGGGCCACAATATTGCACTGATCTTTACATGCAAATTCTACCAATTTGCTTGACCCAGGATCAGCACTATGGATTACTACCACCAAGCTTGCAATTATAATATTGTCTGTACAAATGCTCAAGGACAAACCATAGCTAGGAAGAGATCATGCTCAAAAACTTGAAAGCTGGAGATTTTAATGCAAAGAGCAAATTTTCATGTCAATAACCACATTAGTGATGATAGCCAAGCAAAACAAAAGATTTCTAAATTATTTAAGGGATGACTTCTTTAATCATTTAGAAAGATATTCCATCAATAGCACTGCCTGCCACTCTCAAGTAACCTGTGGCAAATAACACTGCTGAGGTTCCCTTTATTTTGGTATATCTTATTGGTAAGACTTGGACACTTATTTAAAGAGGTTCCTGGAAGTTCAGATGTATTAACACCCTGATCCTGAACTTCTGTGCATATAACTTTAATCCTGCAGAAATTTCCCCACAATAATCTGGACGTATCATAATGTACTCACATTTGTAACACCTGCTTTACTTAGGAGCAAATATTACAGACACTCCACTGACAGAAGATGGATCTTCTGGTCCCCTCCTCACTACAGCCCTGTGAGCCACATGGCTTTTTGTTTGAAACTCCTTGCAATGCCTTTTCAAAGGTAAATAAAAGGCAGGGAACATAAAAAGAGACCAGTGCTCCATCTAGTCCAGTATCCTGTATCACACAGTGGCCAACCAGTTCCTCTGGAGGTCCAACAACAAGGCATAGAGGCCTCTGATGTTAACTCCTAGCACTGGTATTCAACAGCTTTACTGCCTCTGAATGTGAAGGTTCCCTTTAGTCACCATGGCTAATAGCCCCTGATAGACCTGCCCTATGCTTGCACATTGAAAAGTCTGTAGGCTCCAACATAATGACACTTTTGCTACTTTTGCAAGGTTTAGAATGAGACTGGCAGCAAAATATCCATGCTGTCCCACAGGTTTGTCAAAGGCACATAACGAGTAGGGATGGGCACAAACCAGAAAAATGTGGTTTGTGGTTTGTTTCTGAACCACAAACCGAACCACGAACTGAACCAGGAGGTTCCTTCATGAACAAAACCAGTTTGTGGTTCTGCATATTGTGCTGAAAGGGACCACAGTCCCTTTAAACAGGGTCTGCAGAAAGCTCGAAAAACAGCTCAGTGGTGGGGAGCAGGCACTCCCTTTAAACTTTAAAGGGACTGCACAAGACAGCCTGAAACAACTGAGTCGTGAGGAGCAGGCTGCTCCCCACCACTCAGCTGTTTTCGCAGCTTTTGTGGGGAACAGAAAGCAGGGGTTTAAAGGGATTTAGAGTCCCTCTTTCTGCTCTGTCCATGAACTGCTGCAAACTGCTTTAAAAGTCATGAGTTTCGGTTCACCAACCACAAACAGGGCAAAATTTGTCATGAATTTTGCTTTGTGGTTTGGCTTTGTGCCGATTCCTACTAATGAGACCAACACTGAGAGGAAACAGCAATATGCCTCTTTAATAATGTTTTTTTTAATTATTAACAAAACAAATATGCTCAAAATTAAAACAAAAAAAAGACGTCTGTTAGGATGCTTTACCTTTTTCTGCACTCCCATTAATTTTAGGAATGAAGTCATCAACTTGTATGCCTAGGATTGACAAATAGTATTAATTTTGTATAAGCAAAATGGTCTATATGCTTGACAACACACACTTTTTGTATTGCCTCTTTACACCAGGTAACTTATGCATCACACACACAAATTCCACCTGAAAAAATGGCATCTGATTTTCTTTCCTACCATAACAAATCTATTAGATATGCTAAAGTCAATATAACATCCAAAAAATTAAACGTTGCAGAAGACCTCTTTTAACAGCACCACTAACTAAAAAGTGCAATGGTCAAGCTAGCCCAGAGTGTTTGAACATTTTAAAAGCAGTGCCCTCTACTGGCAATGTAATATAAATATTGCAGTACCAAATTATGGCACCAATGTATTATCTAAATTACCTAATTTACCTAAAATTATCTAATAAAATTATATATATATATATACACACACATATATACACATATATAAATATTCCTGTCAAGTTGCAACCAACTTATGGCACTCCGTGGGTTTTCAAGGTAAGAAACTTCAGAGGTGGTTTTCTATTACCTTCCTTCACACAGCAATCCTGATGATCTTCCTTGGTGGTCTCCCATCCAAGTACTAACCTGGGCTGACCCTGTTTTGCAGCCAAGATCTGATAAGATCAGGCTAGCCTCCACTATCCATGCCAGGGCAGGTAATGTATTACCCAATTATTTATCTTCAGGTTGTAACAAATAAGTCAAGGGCACAATTTTAAAACTTCCTTACTTCTAGTCACGTACAGCTCATGTAACTGTTCTGGTATCACATGGAAGGGATAAAATTTAGTGACTAAAATCCAGTATTAGGCAAAATACTTTAATGTTAGACCTACCTAAACTGTTGCGTTCTTTAAGAGCTTTCTCCTGAAGATGTTCTAATCGGACTGCAAACAGAATTCCAAAAGAAAAAGATATTTCACAGTTTAAAGAAAAGCATATGAAAAAAAGTATTTTTGGACTAGTAGACTGACCTTGTAAAGCAGTTAGCCGTTCATTGGTGAAGTCATTATCTGCTTGCAAAGCCTCTATTTTTGCCTGAAGCTCTTGCTCTCTTTCTTCCATCTCTTCTATTTTATGCTGCAATTCCTTTTTCTCAACTTGTCCCTTTTGCTGAATTTCTTCTTGTTTTCCCTCAGCTGCCTACTCAAATCCAAAAAAAGAAAAAAAGAAAAGCAAACCCCAACACACAAATCAAAACTGTATGGCAGAAAATATTCAGACCATTTATTTTACTAACAAAGGCATCAAAATATCTAGCATGCAAATTTATATCCCAGTTCACATGTGTATCAGAATAGATCCTCCACAGGCATTAGTCAGACAGTGTCCATGTCTAGGTGCTCCTTGACATTCCTACAATGTAGTATGTGTTATAAATATAATGTATGCATATGTGCATTATTTTCATAATCTTGCCATCTTTAAGGGGCAATTTACACAACCACACATATGTATGCCTTCATCGCGTTCAACTGTACATGTGGTGGAATGCATGTTCATGTTCCCAAATAAGGAGGGGCTGCAAGTTAAGATACTTACTCAAACCAAAACTGAACTAGGTATCTATATTACATAAATGGAAGAGTAACCTAACTTCTAGATTTTGAAGAGTGTCAAAAAATGGAAAGTTGAACTCTGACTGAGGAGAGTTGAACTCTGACTGAAAACCATTTCATACTACTTGAGACCTGGGAAGGTTGGCAAGGAGGAGTGTGTGGATCAGTGAAGACCCCCATTCGGGCCAGGAAAAGGGACAGATCTTCTAGTTAGAGAAGAGATTCTCTGCCCAGTTGAAAGGGAGATAGCTCTAAAGAGTGGAGTGATCCCTGGAGTGCTCAGAAAAGGAATCTGGGTGCTTGGTAGTGTATCCCTGCCTTCTGAAACCTGAAGAGTCCATTAAACACAAGAAAGTATACTGGAGTGTTTAGGAAACACTGAAACCAAAGCCTCTCAACTCAAAGATTCTAAACTGTGTGAAAATTTTAAATCTCTCAATTGCTTGAAACATATGAACTGTAGTTTGTGAAGATATTAGGTTATCTCAGAGTTCTTATTCATTGATCTAAGACATTTTACCCCTGATTTCACCTGGCCTTTTCCCTTCTACATTGAATAAAATATTTTGTTTATCTTCGAACCATCTAAAGCCTCTCGTGTGCCATTTTCAGAAGTTTAAGTTAGTTAAGAAGGTGATCTTGTCTTTTCCCTCAAGTTCCTGGGTTGAACCAGCATACAAACACAATGCGACAGCCATAGGTTTTAAAGAAAGATCAGAATAGATAAAAGGGGTTGCTCAGTCAGAAAGGAAGAGAAAAACAGAGGAAAAATCCTGTGTCTGAGGGAGGGAAGAGGGCGAGGTCGTCCTAAATGTATTATAGCATTTGTAATAATGAGTTTACAAATCATCCATACCTTTAGTTTGTCAGAGAGATCTTTAATTTCATTTACAGCTCCATTGTATTTGTTAGCCAATTCTCGCAATTCTTCCTGAGTCCGTTCGTTCATTTCTTTCAAGTGAGTACATTCATCTTCGGTGTTGCTTAAACTTCGCTATAAGAATTTTGAAAATATATTTTAAACAGCACCATATCCTTTAGTTTCACATTAACAAAATGCTATTGCAAATGCAGAGCTATATGCAGAGGCAACAGAGCCTCCACATGGGGATATTCTACATGCTTTCATTTTATTTCCTCATGCAACCACCATCACCCTTCAATGTTCTTGTAACAAAACAAAAACAAGAAGCTTGTATAGTGTTATGATGCTATAGCAATATAACTACGATTTTTTAAAAAAAATGGCAAAAAGACCACCAGTGGCAGTATGGGAAATGATGAGATAATGGCACTGATCATGGATAGGGAGGCCAGAAAACCTGTGCTTTCCCATCCATAATGTGAGCAAACGCACACTTAGTAGGACTTTCCTAAAAAAGAGACTACACCAAAGCAGGTTTGGGGGGGGGGGGAGCGCTGTAAGGCAGTGATGAATGATTACACCACTCTGTTGTGCAGACATTTTAAAATGCTGGGGTTTGGGGGCGGGGAGGGTACAGAGTTAATGGCCCATGGGGAAGCAGCTCAACCCATGTGGCAGACCAAAGACAAACTATTAGTGTTCTGAGATTAAAAGCAACTACCAGAGGAATTCTCCTTTGGTTGCTATCTTTATTCTAGAAAAAATCTGCCTTGCCATTTAACTGTGTAGCACTGAACAATTAGCATTCCAAGAAACAAATTCCCATGGTTAGGGCTAACAGGCCATGAGAGAAGGGGATACACAGTAGGGCACATTTTGCAGGAAAATGTCTCATCCAAAAACAAGCACCAAGCTGACAGTGCACTGCTGCTTCTTTCTTTTTCCCCCCATTGGTTGTAAAAACTAACTTTTAGTATGTTGCAGTGGCTACTGTGATCTATTTAAAATCTCATCCAGCTATAAAGCTTAATTTGTGGGTCTGGGCAATCCACTGTTTCCAAGGGCCAAGCCACACAAGTGCTGGGAATTTCAAACTTAATTTTAAGGTATACAGAGGATTGTGTGCTCATACATTTAGCCTCAATGGGGCAAATAACAGCTGCACAGAACAGGCTCTGATCATGAAAACTGTTCCAGGAGGAAGGTTTAACCCTGTGGTACCAATACAAATTAGGCCCCCCTCACCTAAAAATAATTTTTAAAAAATAACTAAGTACTTCTTGTTGGGCCCTCAGTCTAACCTACCAAGCATCGTTCTGAGCTCCCTGGACGCAGCACAGGACACAAATGTAATAAAGATAATGCTTCAGGGATTACAAACCAGGACAGACTGCAGAAGGAAGTAACAGCAGCATTATCACCCCCACATAACCAACACAGAATAAGAGAATAAAAGCAGCAGCATCTTTCATTGCAGTGACTGAAAAAAGCACTGCCATTCTGAAAGCTTTAATACACACAATTTGTTTAATACAAACACCATCTCCTTATAGTGTAAGCAAGACCTATTTCCTGGAATGTTATGAAAATACAAAGTTCTGAGAAAAATATGAGGAACAATTGATTTGGAGTACAAGGACCCCAGTCACACGGGCAGAAAAATGCGGGGGGGAAGCGTGGCTGTTTGCCCCGGAGCAAAATATTGCGCGGCTGCGCGATCAGACGTCCCGTCGAGGTCCCGTGGTTAGGGGGGAGGTGCTGATCACAGGACAATCCTGCGGCGCGGCAAAGAAGCAGCCTCTCTAGCAAAAGGTTCTGCAGGTTTAACCCCTTCCAGGGCTGCAGAGGAATGCAAACTGTGTCCTCTGTCCAGTCCCCTCCAGGAGGAGCTTCAGCCGGGCCGCCCTCCCGCCACACCCCCCCTGCACCTCCCCCTCTGCCGCCCGGTGCAGAGAGTTCCTCTCAAGCAGGCCGAGCCAGGAGTGGGGGTGGGGGTATGGAAAAGAGGAGGGGGCTGAAGTGTGCGCATACGCCGTTGGGTGCTTGTGCGCATCCCATGGAGACTTGGGGGGAAAAAAACCTTTTTGCGAGGGGACATGGGCGGGCGCCGGATGCCACGACCTACCACCGGAAACGCGATCAGGCGCCCGTTCTTGCCCCGCGGTTCCCGGAAACTAGTACCTCGGAGGTACTCGTTTTTTACCCTGCATCTTCGGCGGGAAGCCTCGGGTTCGCCACGGGAGCTCTACACTTCCCTGATGTGGCGCTGTGATCGTGCCCGGAAAATCCACCTATCTTCCGTCTCTGTAGCGTGGCTAATGCTCCATGTGACCACAGCCAAGGAATGGCAGATAACAGAAGTTCAGATTACAGGGCATCAAGTCTATTCAAACGATTTCTACTTTCAAGCAGGCCACTGAGCTCATGGATCAACAAAAATCTAGCCATAGTTCTGAGAAAAATACATGTCATTTGCAAACATTTAGAAAAAAAATTGGATTTAATCACACATGCTAAGGTTCAAGAATAAAGCCAAACCATGGGATGGTGCTTTGTGAACAAGTCAGCTTCCTTCTGTCACGTCATATTTATTGGCAACCCACAGTCAGCAGTTATATGTGAACTGGGCAAACTATGTTTGTGAAAACCATCTCATTCACAAACAATATGGTTCATGCATAGTGGATGAATAGGTAGGGAGGAAAAGGATTAGTCTGCAACGGGAGGAGGAAGTATGCAAACCTAAAATTAATTCATGGCATAAGAAATTAGGGTCTTCAGACATGCTGGTTTCCCTGAGCTTCCTCATGAAGTTGTTTTCTGTTTGTTGTATTTCAGTGGTTTCTTTGTCATTTTTCCATGCTCCACCAATCAGCCTTTGATTCAATTTGAGAAAGCACAGAGAAATCAAAGAAAGAAAACAAATGGAAAATGAGAAAGCTCAGGAAAAAACTCTGTGATTCAGCAGCCAAACCTCTGTGTGTGGGAAAAACCCTGTGTCACATGACCAGAAAAGCTCCCACATTGAAATGCATGGAATCTCCTGGTTCCTCACATCTCCTCCTGAGGAACAGGAGAAAGGATACAGGAACTAAGGCCCACTTATGACCTTCTTTGGATACAACTGCAGGCAGGAGGTGGAGGGTGGGAGATAGGGATGGGCACGAACCGAAGCACAAAGCAAGATTTGTCTCAAATTTTGCCATTCATGGTTCACAAACTGAAGTTTCATGACGGGTCTACCATAATGAACTTCCACAAACTTTTAAAGCAGTTCATGATGGTTCGTGGATAGAGCAGAAAGCAGGGGTTTAAAGGGACTCAGAGTCACTTTAAACCTCTACTTTCTATTCCCCACAAAAGGCACAAAAACAGCTAAGCAGTGGAGAGCAGGCTGCTCAGGTGTTTGGGGCTGTCTTGTGCAGTCATTAAACTGCACAAGACAGCACAAAAACAGGCTCAGTTGCAGGGAGCAGGCTCTCTCGCTGCTCAGCTGTTTTTCAGGCTTTGTTCAGTCCCTTCAAAGTTTAAAGGGACTGCACAAGACAGCACGAAGCATCTGAGCGGTGGTGGGGAGGCTGCTCCCCACTGCTCAGCTGTTTTTTGGGCTTTCTGCAAACCCTGTTGAAAGGTATTGCAGTCCCTTTCAATGGGGTCTGTGGGGCCACGAACTAGTTTGGTTTGTGAACAAACCTCCCGGTTTGGTTCCTGGTTTGGCCACAAACTGACATGAACCACATTTTCCCAGTTCATGCCCATTCGTAGTGGGAGAAGAGGAACATCAGATCAAGGCCCTAATGACAATCACAAAACAAAAAACTAAAAACGTCATGAAGAAGTTAACATCTTGCTGTATTCACATATGATAGTACACTAACGTGATATCTGTGTTTTAGGAAAATAGCTAACATATAGTTACATACCTCCACTTCAGAGAGTTTTCTGACCACTTCAATTTTTTCCTGAAGGACCCGCCTCAAGGACTCTTTGGCAGTTGTCTCATAATTATGCTTATCTTCCTGTAACGCTATAAGCTCCTTTCGTAAACTGTCTTCTGTTTGACTCTGTAATTGGAAATGTAAGATAGTAAAGAGTTAAAGACCACAGGATTCTATTTATTTATACTAGTACTGTGTTATGAAAAGCACTGAGCTGTTATAGTCATAACTTTGTCCATAGAGTAATATCTTGTTTTCTTACTGAGAGAATAATCACAAGACATTAACGTCTTTGATTATCTCTGAATCCTATAACACTGCTCTGTTCTAGTGATTCTAAGAAAGCACTGAGTGTGCATCATCAAGAACACCTTTCCACTGTTGGGGCCAAGGTGTTCTTGTCCTCCCTCTTGATAAGGACTTCAGAAAGAAAAGATTAAGGGATATCCTTTCCTTATGCCAAATTCAATTTCAGAATTGTGAGACTCTTACTGAAGTTTAAATGAGTCATAAATTAAGATCCAATTTCTGCATCTAGATAAGTCTGCGTTGTCTTTGCTAATCTCAGTTGCCGTAAAGGATTGCCCAAGTCTTCTGGAGGCTCTCAAATCAAACTGTGCTTTGAATTTTCCAGAACAAGTCTCAGCTAGAGAAATCCTCCATTAGTAAGTGGCTTTTCCTTTCTAAGTATAGCTGCTTTGCAGCAAAGAATAACTGAAAGACCAGAGATCTGGATGCTAGGACTAAGAACCCATGGAGGGGAGACAGTAACCAGCAATGCACTGAGAGAATAGGAGAAATCTATGACAGCAAAAACTTTTTCTGTACTATGACTGAGCAGCTATTACTATGCTCCCCACCAACGCCATCATTCCTTCTCACCCAGCTCTCCCAGCAGCCCCTATCAGGTGTTCAACCCAAATGTCCTTATTCTTTCCAACTTTGGCCTGACCAAATGCTATTACCACCAACACAGATCACACAGGATCATGATATGGATCATACTAAATCATACCAATGAAACCTCTCTTCAAGAGTATGCATTTTGCAAGTGTAGGTAAAATCTACCCGATCCACATTGGAGCTACTTCATACAAACATCAGTGGTAAGGCAACACAGATGGATGTATTCTTGACAACCATGATACCAGTTTAACAATTCAAAGTGCAGCTGAGACTTCCTAGCATTGGAAGCATGTTATTATATAAGTATGCAATACATTCATAATTAAAGCACTGTGTGTAGTCCTGACTGCTGCCCAAAAGAAGGATTTGGAAAAATTATATTAGATGCAGGGGCAACCTAATATCGGGGGGCGGGGGGAGAGACACATTTGTCAGGAAGCAAGTCAACCCGGTGTGAGATGAAGGATCACACAGCTATACTCAAGGTTACAACACAGTTTCACATTTAATTTCAATCAATTTAATTAATTATTTAAGTGACATTACTGGTTTCCTAATAATTTCAGGAGCTGCGTTTCCAAGCTTGTTTTGTTGCTGCAGTTTTGAAGCTGCTGCAGTGAAAAATACAGTGTAGTGACTCCAGTTACTATGGCACGCCACTGGTTTCACCAGTACTGTTTTTGGACAGTGATTGATATAGGCATTATACAAATGTTTTTAAATTATTCTAATCCCAAATGTTATACATCTCACCCAAGCAAACTACCTACTTTTGAACATGCTTGTAATTGGTTTCCCATAACCTCTAACCTTGATAGTAGCCTATCTTCATCTATCAAAGCCTGTTAGAAAAAAAAAGCAACACATTCTTAAATTAACAACATGTGAGAGACAGCACATAACACACACAGAGGAGAATTTCATAAGATAATTCTTCATTTGAAGCAGATTTTCACACAGCATATGCAATGTATTATTGGAATGTTAACTACACCAGCTTTAGATGAATTAGTAACAATTAACTATTCTGATAAGTAAATGGGTGATCTATTTCCCTGGCAAGCAGATTACAGTGAAAATGCACAAAATACCTGCCAACTAGTGTCGGATGCCTCTTGCGTGACAGCAAGCAATCGCTGTAAGGTGGCCAGCTTCTGTTCCAACATTTGTTCCCTATGTAAGGCCTCCTACATTAAGCACACACATAACACACACAAAAAATCTTCAAGTGAGTTCAAACAGTATCAAAGTAATAAGCTAAAGCAACCTGATACTTCAGAGCTTTGGCCATCTAGCACTCAGTTGGTTGAACATTCTCCTTTACACGTTCAGAGAATATTTAATCTAAACAGGGTAGCCAGAGAAAATGTGAGCACGTTGTCCTCTGTACTTCAATTCTCATGTTTAAATCTTTGATGTTTGTGGCACAGTTCAGACATTTACTGCATAACTCTCCTCTCTTCCAAAATTCAGTTAGTGATGCAGACACTCCAAGCAAACACCCACCTCACACACTCCAGCTGCAGCTTCTTTTGTAAGCAGTAGGAACTGCTGAAGTGAAAAGTGCCAAATGTACAATTATAACTTTTTGGGATTAGGGCCTCAGTGTCTACACACATTGATGGCTAGTAAGAAAAGTAATTACTGGTAACAGTTCACTCAATATTCCTTCTCTCAGGAAGGAATGTTCTGCGAGCTGCTCCTTCAGCTGCTGAGTGGGAAGGTGTTCATTCCTCCTCTCTGGACATACTTAGATAGGCAAAACTGTTTTAGGAGAGGAGATTTCACCACCAGTTCTTTGGCTAGAACTTTGAAGTATTCCAACACTGCTTCTGTACAAATATAAAACTTATGTGTCTAACTCACCAATATTGTGAAAGGGGAGAAAGAAAGATCATAAAGGTATCTAGAATGCCTTCAAACACCCCAAGAGTCTAAGTGGATATGGAATAGGGTAGACTAATATAATTCTGCTTTTAAAGATTCCTAAAGTGTCTGAATCTGGCCATTGCTGGAGATAAGAGTGTCAGAAAAAATTATATTCAGTTTGCTGATGGAAAGAACATTATTATACGCTTACCAACAGCAAACTGGAATTTAAAATTTAATGAAATTTGTGTTATGCTTCTTTTAAATCCCATTATCAACCTTCTCTTTCAAGGATTTATCTATCCATTAAGCAACCCCAAATAATTACTCAACTTAGGGTTGTTTCATATATTGTAAAGCATTAAATGCAGGTGTGTATGCATCCAATCCCCATTCCATGAGAAGTGTTACTGTATGATACATATGTCTGCAGATGCATTTGTCACATTTTTAGATGTAAATGTTAGATTTCTTACATGCACACCTAAAAGACCATTATATGGTGGCCCGTAACATCAATCAAATTACATAACTAGTGTTTTTAGCCCATTACTGAATACTTTGAGTACTAGCAAAAGTTTCCCTTTCTGTACAACTTAGGTCATATTTTAGATCAAAGGAACTAAAAAAAAACCCATTTCCAACCAAAACATTTAAAATTCTCTTTACTGACAAGCCACTAGATGGAGTACTTTACTCTTCTCATTTAGTGGGTCTGCTCATCGGTGAGATTCAGACCTTATCAGTACAGTAGATAACCACCCAAAAACAGTTTGCAAAAGTAATTCTGCATAGATCACTACAACCAGAAACTCAAAAACATAGGGCTTCTAAAAGTCACAATATAAAATGTAAACCTACATAGTATATGTAAGAAAACACAGACTTGCAAAGCTCATTCTTGTCAACAGCTCAGGGAGAGATGGGTCAAAGGAACAAACAAACTGGGCAAAGCTACACAGGCTTACAGGAGGCTTTCAGTGCTCTCAATTTTGTCCTTTTAAGGACAAACTTATTCTGTAACTTCAAGTTATACTGTAATCGAATGTACAGGAAAATCCCAATAAATATGGGAATTAGGAGACTGATAGGGAACAAATTCATTCTTCCCAAAAGATACTCCAGTCTAACTTCCAAACTGATGACATCTGAAAGATTGATTAGGATAAAGCTACGGCAAGCTGGGGTAAGGCTGAATGTTCTCCACAGCCTATAATACCCTGTCATTCTGTTAACTATCTTCATTTTCCAGGTTTGACTATGCTTGAGTTCTCTTCTCTTCACCCAATATGAATTTCTGCCACTTGGAGCACGGCCTTTACAGCCCCAGCCCTGAGGCTGGCAAACCAATCACCTTCTGGAATTGATGAAGACGGGTAGCCGTGTTAGTCTGGGTATAGCAGTAGAAAAGAGAAAGAGTCCAGTATCTCCTTAAAGACTAACAATTGTGGCATGGTATGAGCTTCCAGGAGTCACTGCACACTTAGTGACTCATGAATGTTGATACCCTGCCACAAATGTTGTTATTCTTTAAGGTGCTACTGGACTCTTGCTCTTTTCTACTGCTACAAATAGTCTTTAATGTGCTACCAGTCTGGTCTTTTCTACTTAAGGAATTATTCCTCTTTGCTTGCATTTCAAAAGACCGTAAAGACAATTTCGCCATGCCTTTGGGATTATTTATTTCAACTATTTCTATTCTGCCTCTCTAAAGACCTACTCAAGGCGCACAAGTAAAAATATGGCAACAGCAACAATATAAATAAGAAAAACTAAACAATCCATTTAAATTAACATATACTACAGGGACTCTTTTGATCTGTTAACATATGTTTTTAATTGCTTTTATATAGCAGTAGCTGTATTTATTTATTTTCTCTTTTTTGTAAACCACGTCAACCACATGTTAGAAAAGTAGCATATCAATATATCTAATTTTCAATGTGGCTAAATCTGTGGATACCTAAATCCAAAGATGGGAGCCATGATCAGACAGGACAGGAGGGCAGATAAAAGTAGATTGGCTGGGAGTGGGAAGGCGGTAGGAAAAGAGGGGTGACCATCCCGGATTTAGCCGGGCCTGTGGTGGTGGGCACCCCAGCTGTGGTGGCACACACTTCTCCTGCTGTGGCAGCCCCAGCTTACCTCTTTCAGGGGGGGCAGAGGTCCCTGGGCGTGGAAGACAGCCCTGCCAAATGGGCCCTATCAGCCCCTGGGCGGAAGTGAGAGCCGTGGAGAAGGAGCAAATCCCAGGGAGGTGGTGGTGGTGAGGCAGGAGGCCCTGGAAGGGGACAAGGGAATTGCAGAACCAAGTCCACGGAGCAAACAGCATCTGGCATTGTGCCGTCTCCTGGGTGTGGTCAGGCAGGTTGAGCTCAAGGTGGGCCGCAGGGCCCGCAAGCAGAGAAGCCAGTAGCTGGGAGAGCCCATGGCTGCAGTGCAGCTTGGCAGAGAACTTCATCAGACAGGCTGGTAGAGGCACTCGCTCAGGGAAGGGAGGCAAGGCAGGATGGGCTGTTTGCCCCACCCCACTCTGGGAGTATAGGGGAGAGGTGGAACCCACAGGGGTGTTTCCCATTGGGCCCTGATATTGTCCTTCTCTTGCTACCTTTTAAGGGGACAAAGGGATTGGGTGGTTCTGGGGGAAGGCGGGATCTAGAGGCTGATTTAAGGAGGCAGGCTCAGGCAGGCCAAGGAGGAAGAGCACGTAGCTCTTGCAGGGAAACGTGGAAGGCCAGAGAGAGCACAGAAGATGTCATGGGAAGATAAGGGGAATTAAGATGTATTCAACCTCCCCCCACCTGCAACAACTGAGGCCTTGCTGGGCAGCTTGACCGGCTAGAAATCAAGCCATGGAGAAGACGAACCTCCAGAAGACAGACCCAGGGGTACCAGGGCCTGACAGGCTATTATGGGAGCATTCAGGGAAAAGAATGAGGAACAACTGAGGGAAGGGGGAAAGTCCCCTGCTTGTAATTGTATAAAAGCTGTTCACATATATGGTATATTAAATTATAAGTGACCTTAGAAGAATTTAAAACATTATAGCAAGCTACAAGAAGCTGTGGAAAGTTGGGAAAGACTACTCAACCTGTAAATCAGCCTAATGCCAGCATCTGTCTTGCCTCAGTCTTGGTCCTACCACATCTACTGCACCATAACTCTTAACAGTCTATACATAAGGCCACTATGCCAAACCCACCCAATATCAAAAGACAAAAGAATTACTTACTTTCCTTAAATGAGAGCCATTTAACCACAGTAATGGTTACAGTACTGGAGGAGGGCTGGTGAGAATGGGGTTTAAAACTCCCAGCCAGCCATGAAGTTCACTGGGTGGCTATGGGTCAGTCACTTTCTCTCAGCCTAACCTACTTTACAGGATTGTTGTAAGGATAAAATTGACAAGACACCCCAGAAAGCTCAGAAAACAACATTACCTGTAGATACTGTGAAAGCTGAAACAGTTCCTGAGAGTACATACTGGGAGTGTTAGCAGCAACCTGTAAAACAGGTAAATAATACAAACTTAAGTGGCTTATTAAGGAAAAAAATTACATCTCATTTAAAGCTATATTCAGCACCCTTATTTTGAACCAAATTCTAAAAGCATAAAGAGAACGCCAAATATTTTCTATGTAGTTATATAATCCATCTGCAATTTGTGAACTCCTAGGCAGGGATCACACCATTTTTAGCATCCAGCACAGTTAATAGTGTGATCCTCCCATGACATATCACTCCTTAAAACAGTAAAGTGAGTGACCTCAGTTATGATCATGAAAGTGGCACAGCTAGGCCATTCCCCAGACAAGGTATGGTTTTCTATGTATTTGTAAGCCAAAAAACATTAATTTGTCAGTTAAGAAATAGACCCCTACACACACACGTGTTCCTGGAGGCATGGAATGTTGAGCACAGTTAGGCACCAGTTAAATAGGGAAAAGGGGACGATATGATCCTTTATTTGACCGATCTTGATTTTTCCCTCCCTATAATAAATCAACACCTTAGTGATTTTAGCTTGGTATCTGGTCTTAAAATAAATCATAATAAAACATTGCTATAACAAGTACATTGCTATAACAAGTACATGTGAACTATGTATAAGAGGTAGATACCAATATAGTTGGATTGAAAAAACTTTGAAGTATTTAGGAGTTAATATTCCTCTGAATTTAAAAGACTTAATAAAGGTTACTCATGCAATAATACCAAAGAAATTAAAGAGCTATTAATTCAATGGGACAAACATAATCTTACATTAATAGAACAAATAAACATAGTTAAATCTCTTATTTTACCCAAATTTTAATTTTATGTTAGGGTAATACCTATACATCTCCCAGCTGAATTGTTGAAAAAATGGCAAAAGGATCTCAATACTTTTCTGTGGCATAAGCTTTTACTCATTAAGAAAACCATACAGAGGAGGACTAGCAGTGCCAGATATTGGTAAGTATTATAATGCAATTATATTAACAAACATTGTAAAGCAATATAATAAATCTTATGTGTCCGAATGGAAATCTATAGAGGAATATAGTCTCTCCCCATATACTTTTTGGGAAATTTTATGGCATGTGCATCAGAGAAGCTATCCTATGTCATTTCCGAATTTATTCTTAGAAGCAATTAAAAAGGTTTGGAGCAGGAATTGTAAATATTTGGCACCACCACCATCTTTGTTAACTTCCTACACTGGCCAAAGGTGGTTTAAACCGGGGATAGGCAAACATGCATTTCAGTATTGGAAGTCGGCGGAACTTGCGCGCCTGATTGATATAATGCCAAGGGGGGAAATACTTGAAAAATGTAAATTGGGACACAAAAGTAAAAATATTTCGCCACGGTATGAATATTTTCGATTGAACATGTTAAATACATATAAATTTAAATATCCTATCCGCATGCTTTCGTCTGATTATGAAAAGTTATTATACCACGAATCAACTCCCATTAAGGGGCTGATCCCTAGAATTTACCAACTTCTTTTGAAATCTGAGTATCAGAGCTGTCACTCATACCAGGCTGCTTGGCATAAGGATTTAGACAAAGATTTAACACTAGAACAATGGGAAACAATTTGGAATACCCCTGTGTATCTTTCAAATCTATTTCAATACAACTGCAAACATATAAAGTGATTTCTAGATGGTACTTGACTCCAGCTCGTTTGTCACATAGTACTTCTTTGATATCTCCCAATTGTTGGAAACAGTGTGGACAAAAGGGGACATTTATGAACAACTGGGGGATATGTAAAGTTATTAAATTTGTTTTGGGAACAAATCGTGCTGGAAATCTTCAGTATAACACAAATGTTAATTCCAGTAGCCCCAGATTTGATTTTACTGAATTTATGGGAAAATTTAAAAATGTTAAAAAATGGGCTCCTTTTGTGAAATGGAAGTTTAAAAATCAAGATTCTATTGATAGTGCTTTAATGGTTAATTTCATCGCATCAATGGCGATAGAATAATAGTTTTAATGGGCATCTACACTGGCTCTAAATGTTTATTTCAATTGTTAATATGTTTGAAATGTTTCTGAAATTGTATATTTTATGTAATGTTAATTGTTCGATTACTGTAACTTCTAACTTTACATTTAAATAAAATTTTAAATTAAAAAATAGGGAAAAGGGGAGAGAAGTTAGTTCCTAAGAGCTTACAGAATCCTCGAGTGCATGATTTTTGGGTGGAGGGTATTTCAAAATGTTTACCCCTCTTCCACGTTATCTTATGGGACCAGTCTATGACATTCTATTCCTTAGACACCACAGTCACAGGAAAGGTTTCTGACAGTATACAACTGGTCCAGATACATAAAGCAACTTCTAGAACATAGACCTTTCACAGCCTCAATCCCTTTCTGTGGTTCAAATACAAACTTTCAACAGTCTTGCTCAGACATGTTTAGTTCATACAGCTGGAAGGGAGGTCATAGGACAAGCAGTATTAAAAAATCAAACACACATTTATTTATTACACTTTGTGTGTTATTTTTCTGTCTTTTTCCTTATATGGAAAATATTAAGCTAGTAAAATCTTTAATACCTTGGTATAGTACTTTAACACAGTATTAGTCACTGTGCTGGAATGTTCAACATTCAAGAAATGATACTCACTCAACCAGCAGCAATAGAAAACATGAATATACCTGTACTGCAAAAGGTAACATTTAAATTAGCGCTGGTCTCTAACCTAACCTATACTCACATTAAGAAAAATAATTGTATCTAATAACGAAAGGCTGTGTATGGATCAAAAAATCTACAAGGAAAGGCTACCCAGGGCTAGGGCACATGTTTCTGCAATTCTAAGCTAATTTCATACCCCAGGTTTGTGGGAAAACTGAAGTTTAAACCTAACTATTACAAGTTACCCCCAATAACCAGCAACATCTACACATGTCTAGCTACTGTGGAGGTGAGCGGTACATGAAAACTCGAGAGGGGGGAAGCAGACAACTGGCCAGAGGGAGACAACAGTGGCCAGCTGGGCAAGGGGGTAAGCCTGAAGCAAAATATATGGCATGCAGCTTATTCCATTCATGCTTCCAACTTTAATACTGTGGTTATCAGTGGCTATAGCAATTACATTATTAAAGATTTTTACTTAAATTGTTTACAGCCCATAAAAGACAAGCCTTCAAGGTGTGTTTGTACGTGTTTTAAATTACCTGTGGTCCACTAAGTGTTTTTCAGTCACTTTTGTGCTGCAAATTGTGAAACAATTATCTGAACTATGGCCTTTCAGCAACTTGTAATGATCAAGATTGGTGCAAAATTAGTTTGGGAACACGAAAAAATTCCAGGAAGCACCATCCACCTAATATATTTTGTTTATTTCCTATATATTTCAGAAGTTCAAAAATCTGAATGATGCTACTTTTATATCACTGAGCAATATGTAGAAGAATTGATGAAAATTCTTTCTTGAATTAAGTTTTTCTTGTCCTTTATTTTAAATAACCCATCTTTTCCCTTACCCTACTTAAGTGACTGTTATTTTGTTTAGTTTAAATCTGTATTGATTAAAAAGCAAAAAAAAAATCCATTTTAAAATCATGTAGGAATTAAAATGAGCCACTAGGATGCATTATGTATGATTAGCTTAAAAAAACACATGGTAGTTTAATGTTGCCATTTTAAATTTTATGGCTGAGTTCTTACATGTTCAGTAAACATGCCTCTGCATTACTGTCTGCTTTATTCCTATGTTGCATTGTTGTCTGCTCCCTAAATAAAGAGTAGTAATTTTCACTAAATTGCTTTACTGTTATAGTGGGATTATTGACTGGTTTGTTGTCAATAACTATTACTATATAATAATGGCATGAAATAACCAAATGCAAAGGTGACTACTAAAAATGACAGAATTTTTAAATTTTATTTTTTCCTCCACTGAGCCTTTTAAATCACAAGAAGAGTGCTGGACATTTTAGTTAAAGGATGGAGATAATATTATTATGGACTGGATCCAACACTTGTTTTCTGTGGGTCAAAAAGAACATTCACCAGTGGAGAAGACAGTGAGTTTTGACAAATCCTCCCTTCCTTAATTCACCAGTGGAGAAGACGGTGAGTTTTGATGATTCTTCCCTTCCCTAAAAGACCTTCACATTGTGGCCAGCACTACTGCTGGAGGTCCCCTGAACCCCAAAAGCAGAATTCTGCAGAGTGGGCGGGTGGGAATCTTCCATTCCATGAGTGTAGCTCTGCTCAAAGTATTTTGGATACAACAATCTCTGGTAATCATTTCCAGTAATTCTGTAGAGTAGTGACACAACAGTTGGACTCACATTGTCTTCCACTGTATCTATCAAGTTTCACTCTATATAAATTCTTGGCAGGACACCCTTCGTTTGATCCCTTTGCAGTTCCTTGCAAGCCTTATAATAGATGCCTGACCTAATCTTCATCTTATATTTGTTGAAATGAAATGGCAGCAGATTTTTTAACATGCAGTGAAAGTTAGGCATTCCTATAAAAGTTAACATTAGAATTGGGTTCAAAAATGAAATTAAAATCAGCTTTTTGTGTACGAGTGTGATGTGAGAAAGCTGAGTTCTTCCATTTACAATAAGACTACATAAGTGATATACTGGCTTTCATTTAATCAATGATGTTTTCAAATATTTGCTGTTTCCATTAGTCAAACTGCTCTTCCTGCTATAGCAGCCTTGATTGACAGTGAAATTGTAAACTTCCACAAACAGCCAGAGTTTATAGCATGTAACATCAGCACACAAGAACTCTGAGATTTAATAAAAAACCTCAAATAGCTGAATTCTGTAACTTGTTAAAGTTATACAAAGCAATATCCAGGCATATATTTGTTTACTGTGCATGGTTTGCTTCTGACAGTGATTAAAATGAACAAGACATTAGGCAAGACAACAAATCCTTGTCCTTAACTATAGTAAAGTCAGCTATCCTATTACCCAGCTTCTGAACCTTCATTGTGGATAGCTCACATACACTGTAATGTATCTCAAGGGGAGGAGAGTGAGCATTTTTTGGTGAGAGAGAGAGAGAGGGAGAGAACGTGCACTTGCGTGCTGGAAAATCATAGTGCTTTCTGGCAACCCCTAGTGGGGCTAGAGAGGTGGCTTGATGTTTCCTGCCTCTGTGTCCCGGCCCCGGTATTCCTTGGAGGTCTCCCTTTCAAGTACTTGCCAAGGTTGGTCCTGAATAGTTTCTGAGATCTGACAATATTGGGCTTGCTTGGGCTATTCAGGTCAGGGTGTATCTCAGAATTAATAGATCTAGAAATTTCAGATACACACACCATACACAATTGATAATTGTCACTGCTGGATTATGTGACCAATACATGCTCTATTAATTCTGTGTTTATATAAATGATGGAATATACATAGTCCCTGTAGTAGCAGCATTAGTTTACCACTTCACACTTTCAAATAAGGTGGATTTTAAGAGTGGGCTACGGGTAAAGTATGAGAACATTATGATCTTTAAAGTACTTCCGCTTAGTGTTATTACGTCATCTCTGGAAACAAATGGAAACAAATGGCTTAATGCTTACCTTATCAACAGGACTGGGTAATGGAGCGTGGATGACACTGTTAAAGAAAAAGTGATTTTACTTTTTAAAAGTTCTCCTTTCACCTGTATACTAGTAGAACTGCAAAAAGTTATAATTTCTACAAAGCAGTCTATGGTGTTTTTTACAATAATGAATGTTCCTATAATGAAACATTTTATTTTGTTAAAGTCCTTTATTATGTACGACATGACATGAAATAACCATACAACTAATTCGGCTTAACAAGATTTCATCAGTGATGTTAGTTTTCCAGAAAAATTTAAATTGGAAATACTTAAAATAGAGAATGAACTAATTTAGCATGTTTATTTTTACCTATATTGTTAGTTTTTAAAAAATGTTAAATAATGTCCTGTATTTTATTTTCCTATAACAATCAATACCTGAACTGTTTATGAAAAAATTTTGTTTAAATGTTATATTTGAACAAATTCAAAGCTTTATGTGGAATTATGTTTATTGGACTAGTACATGTAAAAAATTTTAAAAATATAGAATGTACACCCCCCTGTGGTCATATAAATTTAACAAAAACTCAAAGACACTGAAAACTTTTGACACACTGATTTTAGCTGTGAAGATGGCTGTCCCTTATCAATTTCAACAGAGTTTAACTCTCTTCCAGGGAGGTCACTGGGTCACCTCAGTTTCACTGTCACTCTCCACAGCCTCACTTGTATTACTTGTTAGCATCATATCAAATAGGTGTTTACAATATCCCTTCTGCCACATCAAACATATATAAATAATTTTAGTTTTGGTTCTGAATTGACCTGCACAGCCTATCAGGTAAATTCATATTTCATTTTTTAAACTTGGATTACTATATGTATTTGTTGCTTTATTCTCTCCCCCCTCCCCCTCCATTTACAAATCAATAAAATATACAAGTATTCTTTCACACAGCTTCTAGGAATAATGACCTGAATAATAAGTCTGAAACTGCCAAACTTGTACCTGCAATGTACTGGCAATATTATACTAGCAATGATTTCCATTCATTGTTATTAATTTTATGGAATTATAATTCTTCAGAAATGGAAAATATTCTATGGGAAATTTAAGCACTGGGAAAGTTTCCACCACAGAACTCTGCTTTTCATGTTCTGTTAGCAAAGTCAATTTATTAGGAGAAAACAGTCATGATGACTCTTCCTTATTAAAGCTGCCATGCAGAATAAATTCTGCTGCCATATCTGATCACCTAACTCTTCAACATTTGAATCCTGCTGGACATTGGAAAACCAGACTTAAAGTTACACTTACTCTGACCGTAGCCTAGCTTCCATACCATCTGGAAGAAACAGTTTTATTGTGGAAACAATGCATCCATGGGTGACTGGAAAGAACATTAACATTGTAAGATTTAAATCATTATTCAATAAGAATCTATGAAAAATGAAAACAACTTGAAGTATTTAATATTACTCCAGTAGTCCTATCATCTACAAGACTGTAAACAATGGCTTGGATCCCAACTAGAGTTTTTGAGGGTGCTCAGATTCCTGCTCACAGAGTATAATTTCTCTGCCTCCTCCCTGTGTTAGCCAAATTGCCTTGAATTCTGAATTAGTCTAGGGGAGGTTATGATTATTAATTGGCAATAGGCAAATTAGGATTCACACCAATGTATACAGAAGTCCCACCTTTGCTGTAAGTACCAGAACAGACACAGAGACTGTATTCAGTAAAATATAATGTCTTTTTACTGGAGGATATATATCATTCAAACAATACACAACCACACACACCTTTATACATATGCTAAGAAATAAAGATAGATCCTTAACACAGTTGCATTAGCAGGACATTTGTTGGTTGGGCAATATTTACCTGTCTTCATTGATTGAGCCATTCCAATGGAAGAATTTAGGGGTTTATAAATAGAAAATGGGGAACACGTGCTCTGAACCGGCAGAACGTGGACTCTAGCTACAGACTAGAGGTTAAAGATGGAGGTAGGGTATGTGGATAGCAAGATGGGCATAAGAGGGTCAAAGCTTCGATAGGGGTCGTGGAGAGGGTCAGAGAGCGACCATGTGGTCGGTCAGCATCTTTTATAACATGGGGGGGGCTGGCTAGGCTGGTCACATCCCTCTGTGACACCTTCTGTTAGTCCGTCCCATAAAACATACTATTGGCTGGCTGGAAGAGGGGAGGCGGACTAAGGAGGGGTCAATATTGAGAGCTAGAAACTTAGACTGAGGACTGGCACCTGGATGAAGGATGATTGAATCATCAGGCTAGGGCTATTGTCTCTTGATGGCCCTAGCTGGCTTGCTGATGGTTGAGCAATTAGTTGCTAAGCAACTATGAATAGAGTCTCTTGATTCAATTTGTAGGTAGCTGGAAGAGGGGGGAAGAGGGGTTGCCTACATGTGCTTGAAGAAACTCCTAATGGAGTTTGAAGTTCTCTGTCCTTGTGCTTATCCATGGCATGGCGTCTGAGGCTGTGTACAGGCTTATGGAACTACTTCATCTCACAGCAGGTAAGATGTCTGATGACTCTGGCAGCAACTGTGGCAGCAACACTAAAGGAAGGTGTCCCTCTTTCAGGTGTGCAGTCTCAACAGGTAATCCCAGGTCTCCATGCCGTACAGTCCCTTTGCACAGTTCATATTCCATAAAAACACTGATAGGCTTGCAGGGCAACACCTGTGACAGCAAAAAATGCTCCCTGCTTTTTCAGTTGACATGTGCAAGGGGGGGGGGGAATCACACTCTGCAAGTGGAAGTCCCTGTACCCTCAGAAATACTAGTTGGGATCCAAACCAATGTTGCTATTCACCAAATTTGGGAGAGAACAAAGCTTGAGTCCGGTGGCACCTTTATTCTGGGTATAAACTGTTGAGTAAAGTTCTGCATTTAGGTAGGAAAAATCAAATGCATAATTATAGGATGGAGGAGACTTGCCTTGGCAGTAGTATGTGCAAATAGGATCTAGGGGTCTTAGTAGACCATACACTGAACATGAATCAGCAGTGTGATGGAGTAGCTAAAAAGGCAAATGCGATTTTGGGCTATATCAACAGAAGTATAGTGTCCAGATCATGCAATGTGATGGTATTGCTTTACTCTGCTCTGATTAGACCTCACCTAGAGTACTGTGTTCAGTTTTGGGCACCACCATTTAAGAAGGATATACACAAGCAGGAACGTGTCCAGAGGAGGGCAATGAAAATGGTGAGGGGTCTAGAGACCTAGTCCTGTGAGGAAAGGCTGAAGGAGCTGGGTTTGTTTAGCCGGGAGAGGAGACAACTGACAGGTGATATGATAACCATCTTCAAGTACTTGAAGGGTTGTCATATAGAGGATGGTATGGAGTTGTTTTCTGTCGCCCCAGAAGGTTGGACCAGAACCAATGGGTCGGAATTAAATCAGAAGAGTTTTCAGCTAAACACTAGGAAGAACTTTATGACAGAGTGGTTCCTCATGGAACAGGCTTCCTTGGGAGGTGATGGGCTCTCCTTCTTTGGAGGTTTTCAAACAGAGGCTAGATGGCCACCTGACAGCAATGCTGATTCTGTGAACTTAGGCACAAAAGGTTATACCCAAAATTAAACTTCGTTGGTCTTAAAGGTGTCACTGGACTCAAACTTTGTTCTGTTGCTTTAGACAAACACGGCTCCCCACCTGAATCTATCTTCATGGAAGGCACCGAATTTGTGTAAAATAAGAAATATTTTGCAACAATTATGAATGGGTAGACTGTAAGAAAACTTTAGCTTTCTAGGTTTTATTGTAAGAGATCTTACAAGGACTGCTTTGTAAGACATTCCTTCAAAGAATCTGGGATCCAAAGCACCACATGTAGTAAGTACTCTGTCCATGCAGAGAGACTCTGCAATTCTCCTTTTCCAGCAGAAGCAACTCAAGAAGCAGTCCACAAAAGGAGGGGGAGCACATGTGGACCTAAGCACACATGAAAGCTCTTAGTGCTCACACATGTGGTACTCTGGATGATAACCATCTTTTTCAGAGATGGTTAACTAAAGCTGTGTTGTCCAGTATCACATAAGGGCTGCTCCTAAAAGAGATTCTGTTAAAGGTGCTGCTGCCAGATTCAAGTGCCAAAGCACAGATTCCATTGCACAGAGAATCAATTTTGACTGAATATACTCTGTGCATCCAAATAAGGCCGACATGTTTAAGTCAGCATATGAAATTAGTGAACACCACTTGAACAAACTAATTTTGAAATGCTAGATTCAAGTCCAGTAGCACCTTTGCGACCAACAAGATTTACAGGGTATGAGTTTTCAAGAGTCAAAGCGCCCTTTGTGAGTCCATAATATAAAAGTAAAAGTGTTATATAGTATCAGCACTTTACTGCCGCCAATGTGTTGGGGTTTCAGCCATGATTCTCACTAGGTGACCCATCAGTCTAACCTACTTCACAGAGGTTGTTGTGAGGATAAGATGCAGGAGAGAAAGAACCGTGGACCTGAACTCCATGAAGGAAGGGTGGAATAAAAATGTGATGGACAGCTAAGAAATTAGCCTTGGCCAAGCAACATTTTCATGACTGCTATGAGGCTGGATTACCACTGTAATCCTCCTTGAAATCTAATGGGATATAAAATACAAGCAGTAGTATATAAAATATTGCAGAACAGTTCTATTGCTCTGACTCTTTCTTTAGTAACATATTAACAAAGAAATTTAGAGACATGATTGATATTTTTTAGATCAACACATTCATAAAATAAATAAATAAATAAATAGATAAAATCCATTTTACAACCAGTACCTATCATGTCAAGATAGCTGTGCTCTGAGAGAGAGAGAGAGAGAGAGAGAGAGAGAGAGAGAGAGAGAGAGAGAGAGAGAGAGAAGAGACTACGTCCAGTGCACTGCTTTCCTTAAAATTAGTTTAAATGCAAGAACTATGCAAATAATTGTATATTCTACTTTCTTTTTATTTTTTATTTTGGCACCAATATGAATGTAAAGAAATAACTGGGAAAATCATCACAAGACCATGTGGAGAAACATAAGGCACAGTTACCAACAGCATAGCCAACTCAGTACAGTAACTACAGTAACTGTCATCAGCATAGTAGAGCCCAGTAAAGTTAAGCTACAATAATACAGAATGGAAAATGAAAGAATTAACAGATGGTATTTGAACAGAACTTGACTGGTAGTGTTCATTTTGTCCTCTATCTTGCATTCTAACTAATAACTAGGCATTTAAACTTTAGCATATGAAAGGCATCCTTACCAGCATGTTACTATCTGGAAGAACGGACACATCCCCAGCTGTCAAAGCGATATACAATGTTTGAACACAGAAAGGTGTTTCTGCCAGATTCCATGAATAATTATTTTAAAGCAGAAAACAAAGTCAGATCCACACTACCTATTTTGTATTTCTTGGAAGCTCTCTTTTTTCTTGAGAATCTAAATTAACAGGGGGTGGGAGTGATCTGTACCCTTACCTTTCCGTGTGTTCTCAGTCACATCTACGCCGAACTGGATGATATCACCAGACAGAATTTCACATGGTGGGCTTTCCTCAGATCCTCTGCTCAATCTCTGACTATTTATAAAGGTACCATTACTACTTTTAGTGTCTTGAAGATAAAACTGTAAGAGAAACAGACACTGCTGTAAGTCATCTGCAAGGTGAAAAATTACAATGAAGATTAGAAGTCAAATTCTAACCTAACACATAAAAATGGTACCCAGTCCAGAAAAACACAGGAGAACCCCCTCTTTTCTTGCATATCTTATATTCTAATAGCGAAGTCAGCCAAATCTTTGGATACTTAAATCCAGTGACTTGAGTTATGGATGGGCAAGACAGATCTTTCTGCAAACCTGAAAAGAACCACAGGTTTGCAGAAAAATGTGACGTCTTAAAAACACACTAGGGAGTTTAAAAACTTGAAAATGATAAAAGGAGTGCCTATAGCTTTAAAAATGGATTCCCTCAGTGGCTGTCACTAGGCAACCACAGCATTCTGGGCTTCAGTTTCTGTGAGTAAACGGCAGGGAGAGGGAGCAGGGCCCTTTACAGGCCTATTTTGGCCTCTGAGGAAGGACACATTAGGGCCAGGCCTGGCTAGGGTTATCAGCTCCAGGTTGGAAAATTCCTGGCGATTTTGTGGTGAAGTTTGAGAAGTGCAGGGTTTGGGGAGGAGAGAGGCCACAGAGTCTACCCTTCAAAGCAGTTATTTCACCAGGTCACACCTGGAGGTTAGCAACCCTAGGCCTGGCAGCAAACACTGGGACGATACCACCTGACTCGCATGAATCAGCTAGGTCTGGCTGTTTGCTCCTGTTCAACAGTAGCCACCCTATGAAAGCCAGTGTGGTGCAGTGGTTAGAACTTCAGAGTAGGGACTGAGAGACCAAGGTTCAGATCCCCATTTTGCTGTGGAAACTGACTGGGTGATTCTGGACCAGTCACATACTTTCAACCTAACTTACCTCACAGGGTTGTTGTGCAGATAAAAAGGAGAAGATGATAATATAAGCTCCTTTCGTCCCCAATGTAGAGAAAAACAGTAGTTTTCCTAGGTAGAGGCTGCGGGTGTGGGGGGGGACAGAAAGCTGAAAACAGAGGGGCTGATGAAGGTAGGTTGGCTTTTGGGTGAGAAGGAGATAGGGTTGCCAACTCCAGATTGAGAAATTCCTGTGGATTTGAGGGGCAGGACCTAGGGAAGGTGAAGTCTGAGGAGATGATGGACCTCAGACTCAGCTGCCATAAACTCCATCCTCTGAAGCAGCCATTTCCTCCAGGGGGACTAACATTGCCAGGGAACTAACAGGCGGAGTCTATGGCATTCCCTTGCTGAGGTCACTAAACCTCACCATCTCAATGTTCCACCCCCAAATCTTCTGGAATTGCCCAACCTGGAGCTGGCAACATAAGGGGAATTGATGTCTGTAGTTGGAAGATCCATTATGATTCCTGGAGAGCTGCTGCTGCCACTGGTGTTGGTGGGGGGAGGAGGCAGGTGGCGGCTGGGAGCACTGCTGTTGCTGCGCAGGGGGAGGAAACAGACTGGTGGCCAGGAGAGTGACGGAGGCAGAAAGAGAGTGCGGTGGAATCGGGGCAAAAAGACAGAGCAAAACTGATGGGGGAAGAAAGAGATAGAAAGTAATGAGGTGGGGAGGCAGAAAGAGAGTGATGGGTTGGGGCAGAAAAAGAGATGAAGTGAGAGGCATGGAGGAGAGGGGTGGCAGGAAGAGAGGTGGCAGGAGAGAGAAAGCATGTGAGAGAAGTAGGGGGAGAGGGGAGGAAGCAAAGGTGGAGGTAATGGGATAGTTGCTCCCACACGTTTCTTGTGAGTCCCCACTTGTATAATGCAGATTAATTCTATTGTGCTTTTTAAAAATGTAGTACCATGAATTTATATAATTTCCCCCCAAAGAGCTTAGAGTTTAAATTTTGATGCATCCCTCAATTAAAAAGTGGAGAGAGAAAAGGAAGGGAGGGAAGAATGGAGCAATGGAAGAACAAACAGGGATGAATGTAAATAAACCCTGCTGACTATGACGTGTACTTAAACTGACTTCTGGTCAGGGAGTGGAGCCAAAGGGTTTGTGGAAAAGGTAGATTTTGAAAGGAGAGGGAGGCGACACTACGTAGGAATTTTGTGAATTTTGTGAAGGGGCATCCTGGTACAGAGGCAGCAAGGGAGAAAAGGAAAGGAGACTCACCATTCTCTTGGGGGTGTGGTCAATGAATCAGCCCTGAGGTTGGCTGTTGTGCACACACACTCAGAACCCCTTAAGGGGTTTTGGTCATTCAGGGAGCCCACCCTGCTCAACCTGTACAACGTTCCCCAGCCAATGCCTCAGTGCCAACACCCAGTTTTGATGGTTATGCTCTTATTAATGGTACAAGCAAATACACATAGTATACACTCTTCGCTATGGGGAAGGCAAAAAACCTATGGCCAATTAACCAATCAGAGCCTTGTATAAAATTCACTCCCAGCCCTGTTAACCAGCAACCCCTGCAGAAATAGCAAAGCATGGGTAACCACAACAGAAATAAAAGTTGAAAGCATGGAATACAAGTGAGGGTCTTTGCTAGGAGAGAGCTCCTGAATGCCCAGTGCACCTTCAGCACCTTCCTTTTCAACCAGAGCCATGGACCAGATAGAAACTGCAGCCCTCAGGTCCACTGATCCCACCCTTCCCAGTGAGGGGCTGACTGGGGGCGGGTGAGCTGTAGAAAGCTGCTTGATTGTTACGTGACTGAAAGTCAGTGATAGGCACAATTGCCCAAAAGTCATCCCCCCCACCAGCACAAATGATGCTCTACCTTACAACTGAGAGCTAGACTCCAACTGGTTTTAGGAAAGATTCAGGTGGGTAGCTGTGTTGGCCTGCAGCCATAGAACAATGTCTGAGTCCAGTGACACCTTTAAGACCAACAAAATTTAATTCAGTATCTGAAGAAGTGTGCATGCACACAAAAGCTTACACCCAGAATTAAACTTTGTTGGCCTTTAAAGATGCCAGAGGACTCAGACTTTGTTCTATTGTCTTAAGAAACATTCTCTGCATTCTGAAGTATAGAGGGTGGAGGAATATACTTAGGGTTGCCAAGTCCACTTTAGCCCCCAGCGGGGGACTTTGGGGGTGTTCCCGGAGGGGGCAAGGCACCCCAATGTGATGTCACATTGGAGGCGTCCGCCCCCCACATGCCCATTGCCAGCTCCTTTCACTTAAAGGGGCCCCTTTAAGTGCAGGGAGCTGGAAGGTTTCGCACACCTCCGCTTAGAGATCAAGTGCGCAGGAAACGCCAGCTCCCTGCACTTAAAGGGGTCCGTTTAAGTGCAGAGAGCTGGAAGGCTTTGCACACCCGATCGGGCGTGCAGGAAACACCAGCTCCCTGCACTTAAAGAGAGCCCCTTTAAGTGCAGGGAGAGGGGTGCCTGCGGGTGTTGGGTCTTGGGGCGGGGCTTCCCCGGTGGCCAGCTGGCCGGCGGCGGGTAGAACCCCCAAAAAAGCGGAGGACCCCTGCCAAACCAGGGGGGTTAGCAACCCTAGATATACTAATTTAAAGAAACATAAAACAATGGATAAAACAAAACATTAATCTACTGAAACAAATGTCAGCATTTCATTTAACTGATTATGGAAGTATCATGGGAGGCTAAAGTACACATATTTACATACATGTATGCACCTAAATATAACCAAAAGTATTTAAAGTAAGTAACTCTAAACTATAGTGCCAATCATATGCCAACACAATCAATTTTGTTCTTTTTTAAAGTTACAGGTGTCACAAACATTTAAATGCTTATGTGTCATGTAATCAAGCTTCTAGAAACTTTTCAACCATTACAGTTGGGTGGCACATAACCATATGCTCCAGTACCGCCCCTCTCTTCCATCGTACAACTTGATCTCTTCCCATGGCACTAAATTGCTTGTGTCTATACACACGAGAAAGGAAATACAGATCAGATCAACCTATAAACAGTAACAGTATCAAACGAATAAAACAAGACATTGAAACATGAAGCATTAAATACTCGTTAATATCCCCCTATCTTCGGACAGCACTGGCTCTTTGACTTGAAAACGGAGATGAGCACTGCCCCCTGGAGTCAGATTTGACTAGCTTTCGAGTAAGGGAAACCTTTATAATGCTGGAAACAGAGTGCTGTTTGAAACAACTCTATAGGGGCATTTGTTCACACTATCACCTTTTCTTCACACAGGACAGCTTCACTGGGGTATCAGTAACAGGTGTACTTTTCCACTACCACCCCCTAAATGTCAACATTCTACTACCTCTAAAGGTGACCTCTTGATTTCCATTTTACTTTGCCGTAACAGACTTACACAACTTACAAACTTTCTCCCAATTTATAATACATCACACCCTGGAGTCTCAGCAGCTTATTCCAACAATAATAATACAGCTAAATATTTCACCTAATACAGGTTTAAGATACTCAGGTGGTCTGTGCGCCAACGTTTCGACTGCTATGCAGTTACTCTGTTCTAACCTCATTCAAACGAATGGGCTCAGACTGTGGCCAGGCCCCCTGACTTACTGCCCAGGCCTCCCAACTTCCCATCTAGTTGGTTCACAGGAAAACCTTTTTATGTTTTTGTGTTTTTTTTTGCACTGTGGCCATGCTGCACCAAGCTGTTGCTGCAGCCATTTACCTCCAGAAGCCTGCCGCTGGGATGCCTCTTCTGTCTTTCTTGCAGAGCAGCAGTCTGCTCGCAGCTCACAGTGACTTGGGCGCTGTGAGGGCTGCAGCCTATTTATAATGCACCACCATGGAGGCTCTTTCCCGGAAGGAAAGGCACCTTTCGAGAAAGGGATGCCAGACTTTGGGCCCGCCACCCACTATAAAAAGCCGGGTGGAGTGGGCCCAGGCAGGTAGCGCTGATGGCAGAGACTAGCCATACCATCTCCAACCCCCCAAGGAAAGAATGGCGCTACAGGTAAAGCAAGGCGTTCCCCTTTGGGGCTGGATGTGGAGCCCACGAGGGGCTCGCCCTGGGCTGGTCAGGGTTGCCTGGGCCCAAGCCAGAGCTGACCAAAACCACTTCCTGACATCTCCATACGGACAGGGCTGGGCTGGTGGTTGCACTAGTCATGC